AAACATTATAAAAAGATAAATCCTTTTCCCATGACACGCTAAGTGGTTTCCCACACATTTTATCTCACTTATGCAGCACGCAGTTGTTTCTTAATAAAACACAGGCTGTCTTTATCCTCCGCCACGGCTGTTTAATCAACAGACTGGCACTGCAATGGGCAGCATATGAGCAGCATCTCGCCTGGCTGGTCAGCAAGGGAGCGTGGTCCCGGAAAGGGCATGGAGGAGCTGTCTGGAGAAATGCCACGGATGGAAGGCTGCCCTTCCAACAGCACATCCCGAAGGCAAATCAGTAGTACGAGCCGCCTCAAAACCAGCGGCCCCATTGAGAAGGCAGGGACGGCACTTTTAGCAAGTGCTAGTTAAGGAGGAGAAGCAGCAGCCTGTGACAGGAGCAGAGCCTGTTCGGCACACACTGCCACCGGGCAGCATCTTCACACAAAGCACCGGAGGCAAGACAGCAGCCCGGGCACCCTGCTGCGGGTGACTGCCGCGGACGACCTCTCCCGAGCGGGGGCAGGCAGGAGAACCTCCGGGGTCCCCTCTCAACCTCTGCTCGCCGAGGCCGGGCTGCCGGGACGGGCGAGCACACGGTGCGAAGGAGCAGAACGGAGGAGCCGGGAAGGGCAGAGGCACTGCAAGCAAAGGTCCAGACGTCCCTGCTCTGTCCGAGAGGGCTGCCGGAGTCATGGGCATCTGCACCGGAGCTGCGCGTCCGACCACAGCCAGTGCGGCGGGATGGGCACTGCCCCCACTGCGGAGCGGCCCGAGGCCGGCAGAGGGGCGGGAAGGGGCGCTCCTAGGGCCGGGGGCCGCAGCGCGGCGTGAGCCGCAGGTGCCGCCCGCTACCACCCCCAGCCTCCGCCAGCGGCGGACTGACCTTGCGCAGGGCGGGCACGAAGAGCCCCCGCCATTTCGGGCCGTTCTCCTCGCCGAAAAACTCGTACGGCTGCGGCGGCGGCTGCATGGCGCCCACCGGCGGCTCCTCCGCATCGGGGCCGCCCGCCTCGCCGCTCCCCGCCGGCTACAGCGCCCGGGGCATGGAGGGAGAGAGAGGGGAGACAACGCGGTGGGGGCGCTGAGGGGAAGGAGAAGCCGCCGCTGGTGCTCGTCAGAGCTGGGCCGGGCCGCGCTGGGCTCTCGGCCGCCGCAGGCTCGCTGCTCACCCCCCCGCCCGGGCGGCCATCACATCCGGCGCGGGAGGGGCCGGGCTCCGGGCCGCCCGCCGTGCGCTGACGGGGCGGCGGGTGAGGCGCCTCGGCCCCGCGCGCTGCGGCCCCGCTACCGCAGGCGCCCTCCGCGCGCATGCGCGGCCGCCACCATTCTGCCCTCCCCCACCCCCTACCGCGGCGCCCCCTGCTGGCCGTGCCGTCGGGGAGGTCCTGCGCTCAGCCGCGGGGGCACGGCCGAGTCAGGTCCTTGACGGGGAGTGGGGCGGAGCTGCGGCCCCGCGCCACGACCCTGAGGTCTTGGGTGGCCGCTTGTTGTTGGACACGACCCTCCCGCAACATTTCCCTCTCCAGCGTGCGAGGCCGCAAGGGCTGTCGCACCCTCAGTCAGCCTGCTCCTGCCACCGGCTCTGCAGGACCTCCAGGTCCATCCTTCCCTCTCCTTCCCTCACCCTGTGCAATGCTCAACCAGAACCACCGTCCTGGGAGAAGGAACCGCAGCAGCGGCAGTGCTGAATGAGCTCCCAGCACCAGCGTCCCCACCTCAAGGCTGATTTTCTCCCCACCTCGAAGCAGTTTTCCTCTGCACCTTGCAGAACACCGGCTGTTGCTGTTCCTTCCACCCCCACCCACACTTTCCCTCAGGGGCTGGTTTTGGGACCAGTGCTGTTTAACATCACGTCAGTGGCATGGACAATGGGATCAAGTGCACACTCAGAAAGTCTGACTGACACCAAGCTGTGTGGTGTGGTTGACACACTGGAGGGAAGGGATGCCATCCAGAGGGACCTGTGGAGGCTGGAGAGGTGGGACAGTGCCAGCCTCATGAGGTTCAACAAGGCCAATTGCAAGGTCCTGCAAGTTTTGAGCAATGCCAAGCACTGGATTTAGAGCAGCCTTGAGGAGGACATGGGGGTGTTGGTTGACAAGAAGCTCAACATGACTCAGCAGTGTGCGCTTGACTCCCAGAAAGCCAACCGAGCTCTGAGCTGCATCAACAGCAGCATGACCAGCAGGTCAAGGGAGGTGATTCTTCCCCCTGCTCCGCTCTGGTGAGACCCCACCTGCAGTCCTGTGTTCACCACTGGGACCCTAACACTTTTGACATGGGCCTGTAGGGAAGGGACAAGATAGGATGGCTTTAAACTGACAGATGCTAGATTTAGATTAGCTATTAGGAAGAAAGGGATAAAGTTCTTCACCCTGAGGCTGGTGAGGCACTGGCACAGGTTGCCCAGAGGAGCTGTGGCTGCCCCATCCCTGCAAATGTTCAAGGCCAGGTTGGCACAACCTGGTCTAATGCAAGGTGTCCCTGCCTGTGGCACGGAGTTGGAACTGGATGATCTTTAATGTCCCTTCCAACTCAAACCATTCTGGGATTCTATGATTCATTTCCCCTCTGATGGCATCGTAATCAAATCTCACTCCTTATAGATATTCCCCACCCCCTGCCTTGCAAGACTGGTCTACAAAGGGAGTGGATAAATTAAATGAGGAAAAGTAAGTGCCTTTCTACCACAAGGATTGTGATTCTTTGTTATGGCACATTTCTCGGAGGAGAGAGGTCCTTGCAGAAGCAGCAGCAGCTCCTGTTGCTCTGTAGTGTTAACCTTCCCAACACATCACGGCAGTCTTGGAGGTTTCCAATGCAGTATTTCTGTGGGAAGATGCTTTTTCATCAAACCCAAACCTTGAGCAGAAAGAAGACAGCTAATCCCAAATGCTGCTTCAGGGTTAACAGTGGTGACATCTCCAGACCTGCAGTTCTGGCAGCCAGGATGCCCAGCCTGGAAGCAGATGTTGCAGGTTGGGTGAGCCCCTCACCTAGAGCTCTATCCCCACCTTCACAGCAACCAGATGGCCATGTTCTTCAGGATGTGACATTTCTCTGTTCTCCAGACAGCCTGAACTACTCTGAGGTGTGGCAGTGGTGACTGGACACAACACAGGCCATAAAGGAGCTCCTTTTCCCAAGAGCAGCCACCCAGTAAGCCGTGACATGGGCCACTACATCATTTCTTTGCAGCATTTTTAAAATGATCCAATATGCCATACTCTGCTCACAGGTTAGGACTGACCATATGGGGACACTTTTGTGGAATAAACTTGTGTTTGTCCAAAGCTGTCCTGATGCATTTATTCAGAATTTCAAAAATTACCATTCCACATGCCACTACAGGTCCAGGTCAGGCTTAAGACTCATTCTGTCTGCACATACATACTGGTGTCAGAAAATGTTGTGAGGTGTGATAAGCATATATAAGATACAGGCACTTTAGGAAGACAAGTTCGGCCATGTGTTTCCCCCCAAATAAAGTAATTCCTATTATATAGAGCTATATCCTACCTAATTCAGGTGAGGATTAGCAAGTTATCAAAGAAACTTTTCTGTAAATCAGGAGAAATACATAGACTTCACAGCAACTAAAAAAACCCACCAACCCAAACTATTATTTTAATCATAATAGAGAAAGGTGCAGTAGCTTCATTCAAGTGAATTAGACCCCTCTGGAAAACACATTCATACATTTTCACACTTTGTGGGCAAGATTTATGTTGGAAACGCCATTATCATAATTCTCTGAAGTTATTCCTTTTAAAAAAGTTTACAACTTTATCTCCAGATATGTAAACATTTCACAGAACACTACATAAAGATTCATAATTTAAAAGCTTCTGTTAAACTCTGCCCCAAAATAATCATCTCCTGAGAGTTAAAAAAGCCCAGTTAAATGTGCTGACTTACGATTCACCACAGTATGTGACTGCTTTACATTTTAATGTTCTTTATTCTGTTAATACATGTTAGGGCCACACCTCGTGTGGGAGGAAGTTGCTTTTGCAATCCTTTTGTAGTATTTACTGTTGATAGGCAACACTTCTGGTGGGGAGTGAAGATATGATTGTTCCATTGTGAAGACAACTTTTACACAGCCGTATGGCATTTTAGCATTCGGAATATTTGAATCTGTCTAGTGGTGTGGCCAAGAATAATGTCCAAAGCTTTCTTTGAAGGGCTTATTACTTGAATTTCCAGGTTGTCCTTATACAGGAGTCACTTTTCTTGTAAAGTAGATGTCACCAGGAAAAAATAAAGTTAAATAAAGATAGGTTAAACCCTTTTTCTCTCAAAAGCGGCTCAGCTCTGTACAATAAAAACATCAGCTAGCACACCTGAGCTCCTGTGCTAACACACTCCCTCGTGCCTATCAGAGCAGTACAGAACATAACTTTAGAAAAACAGTATGGCAAATTGCCTGGTAGCAAACTACCCACAATTATCTGTATTACCCAACATCCTGTGAACATCTGCTTTAAAAGTATTCTCAAGTACTTTGTCCCTGGGGCCACATAATTCTTTTTTGTAGCAATTATGCAGAACATGCCAACTCAGTTAGCTTAGTACCAAACTTGCTGAACATCTCTCCTGAGTTTAAAGCACGGTCTCCACAAAGACTCTCTTCCAGGTGAACCTTTCATAAAACTGCAAGTATCAGTAAAAGCCCAGAAGAGTAACTAGCACCTTCTACACTCCCCTCTTGCCAGGCATGTGGAAAATGGGAGCCTTTCTGACTCATTGCTGTTTGGGCTCCAAAGGAAGCAGTATGCAACATGACTCAATTAAGACAGGTTTCTGTAGCTTCCCTCCCTTCACATTTGCTTTTACAAAGACCATTTCCACCGGATTGCTCAACATGCTGCACAAAGATAAGCTCCTTTTGCATTACCTGTATTCAAATGGAAAAAAAACCCAACCCCAAAGATCAAAGTTTCTGATCAGTGCTGACTTCCCAGATTTAAGTTAAATAAAAAATAACTGTTTATGTATACATTTTTATTTCAGCTTTTTAAGAAAAATACAGACAGTGATCAGATAGCATATCTGATGAGTATCTAAATTGACTTGTATTTGGTAATCCCTTGTTAGGCTTATTTTACTGCGTAATACTCTATGTTCATGTAGAAGGCTCTGAATATTGTTTTGAGTCTCTGACAAAGCCCTTAATTCTATATCAGCAGAACCTTTAAGCAGGGCTTATCCTTCTATCTCCATTAATTTAATGTAAGCTAGGGGACTGTTGACTCCAATTTAAATGGAGTCAGAGTCAAAGCACACAGAGAACCACTCCATGCCTGTGGTTTTTCAGAGGACCGACCAGCTCTCCAGAGAGCAACAAGAAGGCAGTGTTCAGACCTGAGGAATGGGAAGTCCGTGTGGGCAACCCCACCACAGAGGCTCTTCCTGCTTCACCTAAAGGCCCACTACAGTTGAAGAGACCCTCACATTGTGTGTGGCACCAGCCCCTCCACAGGCTGTTCCTGCTCAGGTGAACAAACCTTTACTGCTAACAGGGCTGTTTGTTTCTTTCCTGCAGACGGCTGTACCACACCAGGCCTGACCAGGCACCACAACTCCTGTACTCATGAAGCTGAGAAGCTGCAGGCTGGCAAAGGCAAACATTTCAAATACTGCGTTTGCTATACCAGTGCTGGTCTTGCAAGTGACACTTTGCCTGTTTTATCTTTGTCATTAAAGGCTGTGGAGTTCATTCAATGCAGACAAGATGCTACACATACAAGAGGCGTAGAACCCCACTACACCTGTCAATCATTCATAATTCAAACCTTCGCTTCACTTCATCTGCAATCATTTTTGCGATGGCAAGGGAGGAGGTAGCAGCAGGAGAAGGGGCATTTCTGACATGAAGAATTCTGCTTCCAAGATCTCCACTGCCTCCATCAAACACAAAGTCATCCACCAAATTTCCATCACTGTCCAATGCTTGAGCTCTCACTCCAGATGGACCCCTGCAAAATAAAGGAGGAGCTCACCATTAGAAAGAAAATGTTTTCTGAAGTCAGGAAATCAATCATGACCTTGTAAACATGCCCAGGCAAACAATAAGAAAGGCAGACCATGGAGTCAAAGCCCAGTGAGGCTTCTGAGGGAGCACAAGGAAGTTTAACATTTGTGACACAGAGTAGGAGATGTCTTGCAGTCATTACTGTAAAATGAGGGCAGGTAGCCAAGCAGAGGTTCTTCTGTATCTTTGCTGGTTGTGAAGTTACTCTCCTCCCCACAAACACAAACATGCCCTGTCTTTTCAAAACGGAAACCCTTCCCTTTGTTTTGAAATAGCAAGCCTTGTCAAACACGAATTTCACGCCAGTGGTATAGTGCCTGAGCTGGATAAGTCCCTTTTACCATGCTCCAGCTTTTTGTATTCTGGATTTTCTCCCTGCAAATGTTTGGACAGTTAGATCCACCTCTATGTATTTAAAATGCCTCATCTTTCCTCACAAGTCTCTTCAGTTCCTTAGCATTTATAAACTCCCCTGGATTGGTTCCTCTCTCCACACAGTAAGAAGCTGAATATCGTTTTATTGAGATGATGAAACTAAGTCAGTATTCACCCAATAGCAACTCAGTCTGGCTTCTCTGAATTTCATCAGTGTTTTGCTTTCTTTGTGAACTCAGATTATATTCAGGCTACTGAATGTGTCACCAGGATACAGTGTCTTGCTTTTTGGTGAATATGTCACAACTGTGAATTTCAGCCTATGGAGGGTGCAGAAAGTTACACACATATTCATCAAACTTGCCTGTACACAAGCAAACACAAAAGGCCTTCCTGTGGAAAGTATGGAAATGCTTCAATGCTTTGGTAGCATATTTTGGTGGAGGGAGAAAGCTAATGCTACCTTTGCTGCTGTTAAAAAAGAAGAGATTTAACAGTGTAGTAACACTGGTGTATCTTACAAGAAAAGTTTTCTTTACCTGAGTACATCATTGACAGTGACCTCAGGGATGAACTTCTGCAGTTGCTTCACCTGTGCACTCAGGAAACACGCTCTGTACATTTCACTCAGTCCGTAAGACACGTTTCTCAGCACGAGCTTCCACAACCCACTGTAGAGAGAAAAAGTAACTGCAGTAAGAACAAATCTTCCAGAATGAATGCAGCCATGTCAAACTAACACTAAGACGGTATCAAATCCAACTGCATGGCTAAAGCTCCCATTCCAAACATCAGTAATCTGATCATGCTTTCTACTTGAGAAATATACGTTTGTCCTTCCCTGCTTCAACAAACCTTGCTTACAGAGGTGTACTGCCTTTACATTCTTTCTCTGAAAATTAACTGTGAACTCCAGTCCTTTCTATGTCCAGGATTTTTCTCTGGTCCAGTCAAATGGCAAGAGACTGAAATCCCATGCGCTTGAAGGAAGGCAGACATACTGCCTGAGCCTTTTTTTTCCACAGTCATTCTGACAAGATCACCACACTCCTAAACTCTTCAGTTTTTGGTCAATGAATCTTGCAATGTCTTTGCAAATCTTGTTTCCTTGCTTTGCTTTCCTCAAGTCTTCCAATATAAAATTCTACAGACAGTAATCACTATGCTTTCAACTCTTTAATAAACTGCATTAAGTTGAGCTGGTTGCCAGAAAGGCGCTTTGCAGTTCTCTGACCTGTTTTTCAGCCTCTCCTTGGATCTCCCCAGTATTTACTTTTTCAAGTCTAATTTCTAAAAAACTGAACACTTTGTCATGGTCTGTTCAGCCTCTCATAGAGAAGCAAAATTTGTCTCAACTTCCAGAGATACTCTGTTCATTTATGTTCGCAATTTTGGCAATGATTCCCAATTTCTCTAACATGCTTTCTAAGACAGCTTCCTGGCCTCCATTCATGGCCCTTAACATTATTTCTTTGGCATTTGGACCTTTTTTAAATGTATACTGATGGTCTCATAAAGTTTAACATGGCAATTCAGACCACTCCATGTTCCTCTTCCAAGCATCTTCTGCAAGTATTTGAATCACGCTGTCAAGGCTGATTAAAATATTACACTGCATTGGACAAAAACCAATCCTAGAAGAGGTCTAGTAGCAGCAACATGGCGGACCAGTCCCTTACGATGAGCAGGCACATTCTCAGACCAGCTGAGACATGTCTTGGTAATTTACGAAAATTAAAATATTAGCTCACATCAAGTCAAGTGTCTTGAAGAAGTCTGCCCTCATCAGCACATCTGTCTTTAAAAACACAAAAAGCTTGTTAAAAGCAGATTTTTTGACAAGAATTAGCTTCCGTGGAGTCGCAAGCCGACATCTAATGACATGAAAATAACTGTGTTCAGCAGACAAAAAGACAAGATAGTACCTGTACGATACAGCATCTAAAAAGTCTCCAGTGTTGAAGTCAAGCAATTTGTAGCCCTCTCTCTTAAAGGCTAATACTGCATTAGGACCAAGCCACACACTGCCATCCATTCTTGGTGTGAAGTGAAATCCCAGAAAAGGGAACCGAGGATTGGGAACCTAAAGCAAGATACAACAGTTATTACAGCTGTTAAAAACAAGGTAAGAGGAACAGCCATGCAGCCACTTAAGGTCAACAAACTCATCCAGGAAACACAGAAAACATTTGTGACGAGGAAAGTAGAGACATTTACAGTTTAATGTGTGAGAGAGTGAATAAAACAAACCAAAACACAGTAAAGGGCTTGTCATCCGAATAAATGGAAATAACTATTCTCAAATGAAAAAGTGAAAAAAAAGAAGTAAATTTGCCATTTTATTTCCAATCACTACAAGAAAATTCGAGTCATAGAATCAGACAGCTGGCTTCTATGCAGGTTTTTCTGCTCGGTAATTGTGCAGTTATAGCACATAACTAATTTAAACCAATGAAGAACTGAGCAGGGCCAAGTGAGACTGCAAAACAAACAAGAGGAAAAAAAAGTACACATGATTTCTCAGGATATAAGTCAAGCCACAACAAAACCAATAACACACTAATGCTATTCACTCAAAGTAATTATACTGCAATAAAATAGGTTATAGAATATTAGGAAAACATCATCATCATTCTGTATGGCTCAAAACAACATGCCATTAGCAAGCCTGATGAATGCTAATAATGGAGTTTTGCGCTTGTTTGCAAACAGAATACAGTATACTTGTGTACAGAAGCTGAAACAGAAGTAAGCTGTCACTATGCAGATACAGGTATGAAATAAGCACACCTCCTCTTGCACTGAACTTTAGCTTTTTACAAGAGGTGACTACAGAGGTGAGTGTGTTGTAGTCTGAACATAAGCAAGTATTGGGTATTTCTCAAAAAACAATACTGTTATGATTGAAAAGTGATTTAAGATATATTCCTTTTCTGTATTCAGTGACTGATTTTTCTGTAAAAATATGCTTTTAATACTTTTGCAGCCCATTGCAACCATTCCACGAGCTACATTACATTTTCAGTAACATATTACTAAGAATCATGCAATTTTCTAATCTTGTTAACATTATTTGGCCATTACAAAAGAAAAAAAAACCAGACACCCCCCCCCTCAAAATAATCAAGTGGTACAAGCTATCCTCACACAGCCACGGAAAAAGGCTGGAAGGTACCCTCAAATCCCAGCCCGTTCTTCTCTCGCATCTCAAGACAGGGTCTTCAATCACTCCCAGGTAAGATGAAGTCAGACAAACTCCCAATGCCCAGGGTTCTACAATTTTTCTAGGGTGACCTGCTCCAGTCTTTAGCAGGGAAATGTAAGTTCATATTTGAAAGGCATTACTTTAATGTACTGCATGAGTTAACTAAAATGCTGCCCTAGAAATTCCCTCTTCTTGGTGGCAATTTCATTTTCTATCTGGGATTGATGCCCTTCACCACACTATTTATCTATATTAAATGGTAGAAAGCTTGTCCTTTTCCTTCTGTGTCCATTTTTTGTCATACAAAGTAAAGCTACTTCAAAAATGATGTTTAGAGGCACATATCTAAATCTGAGCTTTGGGTATTAGCACACAAGATTAAACCCTACGTCTAAGTAATTAGTTATTTACTGTTGTACCTCACTGACTTCTGAATCCTGTCTACAGATTTATTTTAACAGAAAAACGCCAGGCTTTTGTGGGCATGGGGCTATCATGCTATATGTTTCATTCTTTTGCTACTAAAAAACCAAACCAGACAACAACAACAAACCCCCAACACAACAAAAAACCAAACAACAACAAAAAAAGACTGTCAATAGTTTCCCTCATGGTACTTCTACCTGTTCCTCAAGAATCAACAAAAACAAGCTGTAGTGTCAGAAGGCAACTGAATGTACACCCACATCACTGCAGTCCAACAGAAATAACCATGAAATACTGCCCTTATTTCTGTAGTTTTAGCATTTCTTAGAGTACACCAGGAAAGCTAAACAAGAGAATACATACTGGATAGATATTTCCTTTAACCATGTAAGACTTTTCTGGCTTTAGCACCAAATAATCTCCACGGAAGGGTACAATACGAGGTTCAGGGCTGCAGCCACTGATCTCAGACAGGCGGTCTGAGTAAAGTCCTGCACAGGTCACAATGTGGCGACAGTAGATTTCCTCACCCTGGGGAAAAACAAAACAAAACATAAAACACACAACAATTCAACGTACCTACTAAAAAAAACACCCATCACCTACAAGTTTTGGAAGAAAATAAGTCAAGGCCAGAAAGAAAACCAAACATTTTCAGAAGGAGGGAGAAATACTTGTTTCATTTGTAATATTCTCCCCCTGTGCTCCACTCTTGTGAGATTCCACCTGCAGTACTACGTCCAGCTCTGGGGCCCCAAAACAAGAATGTGGACTTGTTGGAGCGAGTCCAGAGGAGGCCACAAAGATGCTCTGAGGACTGTTGCACCTCTGCTATGGAGACAGGCTGAGAGAGCTGGGGTTATTCAGCCTGGAGAAGAAAAGGCTCTAGGGAGACCTTAGGGCAGCTTCCAGTACCTAAAGGAGCCGACAAGAAATCTGGAGACTTTTTACAAGGACATGTAGAGATAGGACAAGGGGGAATGGCTTTAAACTGAAAGAGGGGAGATTTAGATTAGGTGCTCCATTCCCCTGAGCATCTTCATGTCCCCCTCTGGACTTGCTCCAACATGTCCACACACTTCTTATGTTGGACCCCCAGGAACTAAATCAATTAAGAATTGACTGCAGTTGTTTTATAGAAGCAGTCCTAGATGACAGTGATCATGTTACTGAACAGCATCTTTTAACTTTTTCCAGAGAGCTGAATAATCCACCAGGACTCAGCAAAAATTCTTAAGAAAAGGAGAAACAGCTTCCAATAAAGCAATTAAATCTTCAGCTTTGTTCTTACCTTTGAGTTCCGAACAATGACTGGGTATTTCAGTCCTGTCACAGAATTAGACAAGAGAAGGAATTAATCGAACACATAACAGAAAATTGACAGAACAAGCAGCTTGTCACGATAAAGGTTTCTTCCACTGGAATATCTACAAGCTAATGAGCAACCACTGTTGGACATAACTGTATGAATTAACACGGGTTTTTTATTCTTCCATACGTGTACTAGCACAGATCCAACCTGCCTTCCAGGATAAAGAAAAAGCACTATTACAAGAACATAAATGCAATATTCAGCTAAATCTGATTTTAATAGGAGATAACAACCTCCTTCCTCACTTTTACTATCATATTGTTCCACCAGCTTTAAATGTTTCAGCTGAAGGGTGACCTGCCTGAAGAAAAAACAAAACAGTGAACTTCCTCAATAAACTCACTAACGTAGTTTTAATTTTGTCTCATCCCCACAAGACAGAAAGGTTCAGAAATGTCATTTCAGTTAAAACAAATGTGTTTTAACAAAATCTTCAGCAGAATTGTAGTACATGGAGGAAAAGAACCTGCCTTACCATCTGCACTTTCTGAAGAACTTTCTTTAGCCATCTCCATATTTGTAACTTCAAAATCAGTGAAGATCGTCCCACCTGCTTCCCGGAAGTCTGCTGCATAGGACTGTGCCACTTGTTTATAATTGACAATGCCAGTATATGGAGAATCAAGGGCCATCAGACCCTAAAACAGTATTAAGATACATAAGAACAGTGAAGGCTGTATGTGGACTTTGATCTTCAATACAGAGACTATTTTATCTGGAATTATGCACACTGCAATGGAGAAGGGAGTCCTGCTGCCTCCCCATCCCTGTCTGCTTGTTCCTAGCCTCTCCACATGCCAGCTCCAGTGTTAGTGTTTGCTGACAACTAGTATGGCAAAAACTACGTATGGTGGACTAAGTGATCATGTGACTACAGCATAATGCAGTTTCCTCAACAAAGCACTTAATGATAAAACAGGTTACCCAGCCTTGGCTTCAGCTAATAGCTACTTACTATTTTTCACTATGCGCTATGCTATTCCACCTTCAAACGGTCACTTGGGAGCTCTACCTGGTGCATGGCTGTTAACAATGCCTCTTGCAAGGCTAAAACATACAATCTAGCCAGGGTGCAACACTGCACTGCACATCAGAGAGAAAAGTCCCTTCTTATTTAGACAACAGTCTACACTTGTCTTAGCAGAAAGCAAGGGTCAAGCCCAGTGTGTAGCTATAATTCTTAATGTTTCTTAGACGTTTTACTACCTTTATTCAGAAGAGGTTCAGTTTCTCACATGATTTTTATCATGGTAGATGTCATCACAATATTTTCCTAGTTCTGACTATAAGGATAGTAGCACTGCTTTATCTCTGAGAGATGCTGCAAATGTAACTACATTAAAAGATTGACAGCCACTCGGATACTACAATGGCAGGGGCCATTCACATGCCCAAGACAACCAGAATGGTTGGCCCCTCTACTCTGGTCTTGTGAGACCTCACTTGGAGTATCGTGTGCAGTTCTGGTGTCCCAACATATAAAGGACATGAAACTGTTGGAACAAGTCCAGAGGAGAGCCACAGGGATGATCAGGGGACTGGAGCACCTCCTATATGAAGATAGGCTGAGAAAGTTGGGGCTGTTCAGCCTGGAGAAGAGAAGGCTGCGTGGAGACCTCATAGCAACCTTCCAGTATCTGAAGGAGGCCTATAGGGATGCTGGAGAGGGACACTTCATTAGGGACTGTAGTGACAGGACAAGGGGTGACAGGCTCAAACTTAAACAGGGGAAGTTTAGATTGGATATAAGGAAGAAATTCCTTACTGTTAGAGAAGAGTGGTGAGGCACTGGGAAGGGTTGCCCAGGGAAGTTGTGAATGCTCCATCCCTGGCGGTGTTCAAGGCCAGGTTGGACAGAGCCTTTGGTGACATGCTTTAGTGTGAGGTGTCCCTGCCCATGGGAAGGGGGGTGGAACTAGATGATCTTAAGGTTCTTTCCAATCCTAACTATTCTATGATTCTGTGATTCTATAAAATCTTTCTTTCCACTTGACAGACAGGCTGAGAGCTGGGGTTGTTCAGCCTGGAGAAGAGAAGGCTCTGGGGAGACCTTAGAGCAGCTTCAAAGGGGCTGACAAGAAATCTGGAGAGGGATTTTTACAAGGTCCTACAGGGACAGAACAACGGGAAATGGCTTTAAACTGAAAGAGGGGAGATTTAGATTAGATATAAGGAAGAAGTTCTTCACTGTGAGGGTGGTGAGGCACTGGCACAGGTTGCCCAGAGAAGCTGTGGCTGCCCCACTCCTGGCAGTGTTCAAAGCCCCCTTAGACCAGGGGCTTTGAGCAACCTGGTCTAATGGAAGGTGTCCCTTCCCATGGCAGAGGGAGTTGAACTGGGTGGTTTTTAAGGTCCCTTCCAACCAAAACCATTCTATCATTCTGTGATTCTATGATAACACCAAGTGCCATTTGCTTACAAGGAAAGGACTCAGTTCAGGAAACCAAGGTAAATTAAGAAAGACCCATCTGAATCTACTCATTTGCAGAAGAAATGCTCAGCTGGATCTTGAACAAGCAAAGAAAGTTTTAAGGAGCGGATATAAAATGTTTACAAGAAAAAAAAAAATAAAGATTCCTCTCTAGAAAATTTCTGTCTGTACCCACAACCATTCACAAGCAGAGTCATGCAGCGACACCAATAGCAAGCTGCCAGATGAAACAGCACAGGGAATTTATATCCAGGTTTTCCTTTCAACCAAAGATACACTAAACAACAACAAATCTGTACTCCATAAACTACCCACATTTCTCCTGCTGTGAAAATAAACAGGCTGAGAAGTGCTACACAAGGACCACCATTTCAATCCAGGAAGCAACTGGATTGAAATCAGCTTGATCCCAATCTGCACTTATATGTGGAAGTTATATTATCAAGCTTTACTGTATGGTAAATAATTTTAATGGGAAGGAGCAGAATCATCTCAGCATAATCTCAGATAGAGCAGCTCTAACCTGGGCAAAGGCAAATCTGCCTATCAACCACAAAAACATACAAGCAAGCACCTGCAAGGAGAATCACAGACTGATTTGGGTTGGAAAGGACCAGTTCCAACACCCCTCCCATACCTTCCACTGGATCAGGTTGCTCAAAGCCCCGTCCAACCTGGCCTTGAACACTGAAGGGGAACAATTACAGATAAAATTAAAACAAACAAACAAAAATACTAGTAATAGTTAAAAAATCATCATTGGTAGGAGAACTGTTTGGTTTGGGTTGAGCTTTTTGGTTGATTGATTGGTTTTGTTTCTGAGCACATACATCAGGGAGAACATCTCTGTGTAAAGCTGAGAACAGAATGAAGTTTGAGCAACTTGTAGGCTCTGTCCATTTACCTATAAATTCAGCCCTGCAGAATGACTAAGGGACTCTAGAATCTCCTGCTTTGATTCGGATAAGCCTGATTCTTTTTGTAGGCTGCAAGTGAAATGGATTGCTTGCTCTCCAGTTTCTGAATGCTGGCTCTTAGGATCCAGCCAGTGCCTTATGTGCAATTAAAGCAGCGTCAACTCTTTATGCTTTCATCATATGGAGAACTAATGAATTATGAACTGACAAGTAACAGAATGAGAAGAGGTGAGCAGGAGAAACCTGGGGTGAAACTGTCACCAATGATTCCACAGCATCACCTTACGTTATGTTAGACTTGGTCTGACGTGTATGTAATGACAAATGCATGTGAAGGATTGGCCTGAGCTAAAAAGTTCCAGAAATAAATGGATACATTTGTTTTTGTTGACAATTATATTTATTCTGGGTTTTCAGGCTCTTTTAAACACGTCCCCCATGCGGATTACCTTAAGACCAGAAACATATTTATGTTAAGTTAAAAAACGTTACCTGAGAAACTGAGATCTTACATGCTAATTCAAAATATGCAAATCCCTTACCCTGCAGAAGGGTTCTTTTGCTTGTATTTCTTTTGTTCCAATCAGTTTCAGACCTGGGACATTGTTCTGCAGCCCTCTTTTGTATAGAGCTTTGAGTCTTGGAATTTCATCTTGTTCAACAGCTACAATTAGCTTCAGAAAAGATAACAAGTCACAGCAGTGAGCAAAACACACACAGCCAGTTCAGGTCTGGCATCAAGCCCAAGCTAACAAGCAAACAATAGTGAGTAAGTGAACAGTGAATTATAATTCAAGAAGGGGGAAATGTGATTTGTGCCATTAGTTGCACAAGATTCTATAAATACCAGTTATTACTGAGAAAGCATTAAGAAAAGTGAAAAACAAATGTTAAACTGTAGTTTAAGCTACTATCAATGGATAATATTTGCTAAAAGTACCACAAGACTACAAATCTCAATGTGAAAGAATATTATTTTAAAGAGACACTGGATGCTTTCAGAAATAAAACTGAACTAACACAAGTTGTACAAATCTCAAACAGTCTCAATAACAGAGTAAGGATGTGTTCTGACATGGTGTCTGAACTGAATTGTACTTCATTTAACCATGTAGTTAGCTCACAACTACCACAGGAGATTTATCCAGGCTATGAATTATCTGTGCCAGGCTTGCACAGACCTTGCTACTTCCAGGCCTAGCTCAAGTCTAACGACACAAACACTTATGTGTTGAGACTCCACTAAGTTCTCCAAACCTGGGGCTGCTTTATGTAGAACTTGCTGTAAAGCCTCACCATCATCTTTCCTGGAATAAACACTTCCAGGAAAGGCGATGAGGAAGTAACAAATTTATTGTCAGCAAAGGACCAACAAAGCTGCTGGATCGGCTAACCTTATCCAAGCTCGAATTTACACCCACAGAGCAAGTCTGCCGCCTTCAGCTTCGAGATGGGTGCAGGCTTGACACGTCAAGAGTATTGCTGTACAAATCCACAGTGCCATCTTGTGACCAGAGCTGCAGCGGAGGGAGCACAGCCCGGCCGGGACAAACACCACCCGCACTGATGCGGGGCCATCAACACTGCCACATCCAGGGATTTCTGCTCTGCACCTCACAGCTGGTGAAATCTGCACACAGCTCCCCGTACGTTCTGAGCTAGGGGGACTTGAAGTGACGCTCATCTCATCAGGTAAGGTCTATCTTGTACTTATAAAAGAGAAAGGCTTAGGAGGTCCAAGATGTTTATGGGCAACCTCAAAAGGGGCAGCCAGGGAGGTGAGAGTCAAGTGATGGTTTAAAGTGACTCAAGATGGTTCTGACAAGAGCTGACTGTAAAGAACTGCAGAAGACCTTTCAAGGTGAATGAGCAACTGAAAATGGCAGATGAAATTCAACACATATAAATGTGAAATGGTGATCATAGAAAAAGTAGTCTTAGCCTCAGGTATAAAATGCTGAATTCAAATTCAAAGTTATTACTCAGGACCAAGATTTTGGGGTAAGGTTAGACAGTCCTGTGGAAACATCAGCTCAATGCCTAGTGACATCTGAAAAGCCCTAAATTAAATGTCAGGAACGATGAGGGTAAGGATACAGGATAATACAGATAATACTATTTCTCTGCAAAAACCCACAATCTGAAAACATCTTGAATGCTGCGCACAATCGTGATCCTTATCTTGTGTCAAAGATGCATTAAACCATGAATGGGTCAGAGAACAAAGCCAGGATAAGGAGAGTCATGATAAGCTTCTCTAAGAGGAATGACTAAGCAGCATAACCTCACCATCTGGAAAGGAGAAGGGGATATGAAATTATGTGCAACTTAGAGATTGTGAGCACAGATCAACTTTTCACGAGCTTTTCTAACACAAGGGGTAGGGGCTATCGGATTTTTTCCTCGTAGGAGCCAGGAGCAAAATGATGCAGTAGGTTGCTGATCTGTGGAACTGCTCATCAAAGTATGCTCTGATGCAAAAGCTTTTAATTGAAAAACACTTGGAAAAGAAAACCATTGAGAGTCACGACAGACAAAATACATCAGGCTCAGAAAATTATCTGAGCTGAAAATAATTGAAACCTGGAAGAATTAATAATTTGCTTGCCCTGTTCTTATTCCTTCCTTAGTCTCTCCAGAAACTTCCAGAAATTGGATACAGGTTTGGGTAGACCCCAAGCGAATAGGTACAGCCACTTTTCTGTCCCCAGCATTTCAGGTTGTGTTAGGTGGATGTAACATGGCATAAATGCATGTAGCTGGGTCACAACTGGAGCTGTTTTCAAGTCTTTCCAGAGTCTGATATGCCAGGATATAAGGTATGCACATAGTGAGAGACTTTGTGCTCCTTGCAGCTACACAGGTGCTCTTCCATGGGGCCTGGCTTCCACCATTACCTGGGATATTTCAGCTCAGCCGACAGATAAGGGGAATTACTATTTAGGTCCAGAAAAGAAACCAATTTGAATTGCTGGAAAGAAGAAAAGAAAAAGGCACTTTCATTCTGAAACTAGTGTTGCAGAAAGTAATCTCTTGGGAGAAAGACCACAACCAGGCCTCTGCTATATATTGTAACATTACATTATACAGTCTCAGTTTCCAAATGTACAATAAGATTGCACAGCAGTTCCTATACCTTCCCACACTGTTTATATGGTATTCCCTTCTGGTCACAGTACTCGTAGCAGAGGGCTGCTCCCTCTACACACAGCTTAGCTTTCAGAGATCCAGGTGTGTAGTAAATTCCACTGTGAATCACGCCACTGTTATGTCCACTCTGGTGATGAGCTGAATAGTAAGAAAAGTATGTTATTAAAATGCATGTGTCCATTATTAATTCACACTTTAATTACCTCAGCTGTCAGAAGAGTAAGGTCCTTCCCTAAATCAGTGTTAAAATAGATGCTCATATAAGGTAACTGCACAGCAAACCCAATTCCTCCCACGGTCTCAAAAGGCTAGAAAAACACTGACACAGCAAGACCTAGTTAATAATAAACCATCACAGCTTGAAGTGTGTTGAATCAACAGGCAGAATAAAAGCTAATCACAAGATTTTCCTCCAAGAGCTACACTTGCAGGCCAATCAACCAAAATTTTGTACATGCTCAAATTAATTTTAAGAAATTCAATTTTTAAAATGAAATGCATCCTTAAAGGCCTCATCTAACATAACATCCGTGCAATCCACAATTTCTTGGTATGTGCTGGCAGGCTTGGTAGGCTTTTCAAGTATTTGTGAACTGGATTAAGTCGCTATTTGCTCTTTGTAACTAAGTAAAACAGAGGTGAAAAGTATCACAAACATTTTTATTTAAGTAATTTGGGCAGGTTCTCCCTCTTAACATATTGACTCCCAAAGTATTGACTCATTCCTGCTTTGCACTCACACAACTGTTATGGACCTAATGTACATCCCATCTTATTATAAAAAGCCACTTCATATCACACATGTAACACCTCAAGACCAGTATGCAGCCTGGCTGATAGAGCTATTTAAAGCAAGACCTCAGGCTCACTGGTATTATTTTGCATTAGCCACTGACATGATCCCTTGGGGTTGCTCCTGTCTACCCTGAGTGGCTGCCCAGCTGCATAAGCACTTGCTGTGAAAAGACTGCTTATGGTGAAACTGTGCTTGTAGTTGAGTGAGCCAGAAAAGCTTTCAATGAAGCAACAGGGCTTATTCTTTCTTATTTCAAAGCCAGGATGGATGACCCAGTGAAGAGTGCCTCAAGATTTCCTGTTGTCCTGGGTTCAGCAGTAGCAGTCATGTTTCTCCTCCTTGGTAGCTGGTGCAGTGCAGTGTTTTGACTTTCGGCTCGGGAACAGAGCTGATAGAGATGTTTTGGTTTGGCCAAGGACTTTGTGAGCCTCATGCTCTGCCAGGGAGGAGGGGAAGCTGGGAGGAAGCAGAGACAGGACACCTGACCCAAACTGACCAAAGAGCTATTCCATACCACAGCACGTCATGCCCAGGATGTAACTGGGAGTTAGCCGGAAGGGCTGGGAGACTGCAGGGTTGGAGGAGGTATCGGTCGGAGCTTGGTCGGGCTTGGGGGGCGAGTTATCGGTCAGCGGGTGGTGAGGTGTTGTATTCTGTTCCCTTGTTATTTCCTTTATCATTATTATCATTGGTGGTAGCAGCAGTGATTTGTGTTATACCTTAGTTACTAAACTGTTCTTATCTCAACCCGTGGGAGTTGCATTCTTTTGATTCTCCTCTCCGTCCCTCCGAGAGCAGGGGGAGGGCAAGAAAGGGGGGGAAGTGAGCGAACGAATTACCTGACTGGGTTTAAACCACGACACCTGTGTAAGCAGGCAAGACTGCTATCTGTGCCATTTCACTGTAGTTAATTCTGGGCCAATAACTAGTGACCACCTTCCCAGATTATCTGTTAGTTCTTTGCCTCTGATAAATTGCCTCCCGTGCAAGTAACAGCACTTTGCACAGCATATACAGGGATATCCAGAATCACAGGGCATATGACTGTGGTTTACAGTACTGACAGTTAACAGACAGGCACAGACTGCCCAAAACAGCAGTGGGGCAATCCGTAGCAGGCAGTTGGAACTGGATGAGCTTTAAGGTCCTTCCAACCCCAACCACTCTGTGATTCTAGCGTTCCCTTTACAGGCACGATCACAAAGTACTGCGTTTTTGGCGAGGGTGCCCTTCGGAAAAGTACTTCTGACAGACTGACACCCGGTGAACCCGAGCACACCCGGGTGAGGAGGACACGGCACCATACCCAGCTCCTGCTCCTTCTCCAGCACGGCGAAGGCGAGCGAGGGATGCCGCCTGACGAGCTCCCGGGCCGAGGCCAGCCCCACGATTCCCGCGCCCACCACCACCACGTCGAAGGTGCTGCACACACACAGACACAGACACAGATACAGACAGACAGACACAGATACAGACAGACACAAACAGGCAGTGAGCTCACCCGAAGGGTGCCCGCGGGGACGCGCGCGCCTGCCCGCCCGCCCGCCCGAGGGGCAGCCCGCCTCCAGCCCCGACTCTGAGGGGGAAGCGACCGCCCGGCCCCAGCACCGCGATGGCAGCCCTCCCGCCGTGAGGGAAGAGCTGAGGGGCCACAGCCAGGGGAAGCTCGGACAGGGCCGCCTCCCACGTCCGCCCCGCGGCCTCACCTGCGCTGGCGGCGCTGGGCTCGCCACAGCGCCGCGGCCCCGCTGCTGCCCGCCCGCTTCCGCAGCAGCGCAGCCGCCGCCATCTTGGGGGCGGTGATACACAGCGGGACGGGCTCCTCCTCCGCGGCGGCGGTGAGAGGCCTCTGGTGGCAGGTCGGGCCGGGTTCCGTGTACGGTTTGCCTGCTTGTCCCCTGAGGGCAGCCCGGCGGGAGGGGATCCCGGGAGTGCGGTAGCGGGGCGGGGTGAGCCCTGAGGCGGTGCTGGAGCCTCCCTTCAAGCACGGTCCCCGGGGCTGACAGACCGGTTTAGGCCTTGAGGAGAAGCCGGGTGCGGGCTGCCCGTCCCGCTGGGGCTGGCTCTGCGGGTAACGTTTCCCTTTGTCCTCTCCTTTCTTCAAGAACATGGTGCTGTTGGGGAAACTTGCGCAGCCGGCGCACAGCCTCGGCAAGCTGCCCCCAGCGGGCCCCTGCAGAGGCTTCTGGGGATGGCTGAATGCCGTGTTCAACAAGTAAGGGTAACTCGGTGCGTACAAGGCCATTAGCAGGTCCCATCTATCCCCTGTGCGGTTTTGAAGTCCCAGGACTGGAAAGGGCATTTTGTGGTACCAGTGCTTTTCTTCCCCCACACTGCGTGCTGATGCTTGGCAGGGGGCATTTCTTACCTGTTCCAGTTACAGAGCTGCGGCCTTCCAGGGGAAGGTGTGTGATTTGCTCCCCTCCCAGTGGTGGTAGGCAAGCTGGCAATGTGGATTTTCGCCCTAAATGCCAGCCTTCCTTTGACCCCCAGATGCATTTAAACCCGTAACGTGACCATGCATCCTTTATTTACTCAGAAAAGCATCTAACCAACCTACCATTTACAATGTGACTCAGCCACACCAAGGTTTCACAGTTAGTTTTAGGAAGATAAAGCCTTTCTCTATGAAACTCTTTATCTGCAAAACTCTTTTTCTGTGCATACTTTTGCCAGTAGCTAATAGTTTTGCCGTATGTTTTCTAGCTTTGTGGAAAGGGTTGTGTGATGCAGGTGATTGCTGTAACAGGGTGCGAAACCCAAACGGACAGGAATCTCTTCCAGGTCTCTGCTTCTGTCTTCAGCATTCCTTACCAGACTAAGAAAGATATCTTTGTCTTGAATGGACCTAAGGATTTTAACTAACTGCTGAAGTGTATCTTTCTGAAATACTGTAATTGTTGAGGAAAAGGCTTCTGGAACAACAGGAGCATGACAGGCAATGAGAGGTTTTTATGTAATCAGTGTTTGGGAGACATATTTGCAATTGTTGCAAAGCCTTACTTTGCATAGAAAGGTGATTTTTCATCTCTCCTTACAGACATGGAAGGAAACAATCAGCTGTAAGGGTTGCATTTGCATTCTTTCTCTTTTTACCACAAGCCTCTGCCATTTAAATCAAAAAATAAATTCTTGCCTGGCTGATAAAGAACAATTCAAATAATTATACATAAACCAATTCCAGTAGATCATATTATTACTTCTCTGACATCTTATACACCTAGCCAAATATTTGTTGTGCAGTCATTATTAACATCGAGGCAATAAGTCTGCCACATTACAGAAGCTATGTGAATGCTCTTTCTGTCTTGCAGGGTGGACTACGAACGTATCCAAGCTGTTGGCCCTGACAGGGCAGCCTCAGAGTGGCTGTTGCGATGTGGTGCGCTGGTGCGCTATCAAGGCTATCAGAAATGGCAGCAGGACTACAGTGGTCTCCCAACAGGGCCCTTGGGGAAATACAAAATAGAAGCAATTGATGCCACTGAATCTTGCATCATGTACAGAGGATTTGACTATTTAGGTAATGTAGACACAGCTGTGCAAATATTATACTGAACAGTTCTTTCAGTTGCATGAAAATACAAATAACTGTGTCATTTTCTCCTTCCCTGGCAAGATACATAGAAATATTTTCCTTGCCCCCCTCTCTACAAATACTGAGCCATTCCTAAGATTTGGTGGGCGTATGGTGTGAAGCAGAAAGAGAGTGGGAACTTCATCAACCCTTACCTGAAGCAACAGTAACACTGAAGCAGTGCAACAAAGTTTTGCTTTTTCATTGAGTTCATAGTTAAGTAGCTGGTAGCAATACGCCCTATGTTAAATACTTCTTTTCTTCTAAACCAAGTGATGTTCTTGGTGCCTGTGAAGTCTCATTACTTGTTCTCCAGGCATTTATGATGTCTTCAAAGATGAAAAAAAAAAAAGCTCTCAGTTTCTCATAAAATAAGAGATTGAAGAAGTGTTTCAGGTCTCCTTTAAGTAACAAAAACCAAAATGTGGAACAGACCATTTTATTTTTTCACTGGCAGGGGACCTTGAATTTCCTGCAATAGTACGTTCCTAAGTCAGAGTCCTTATTCTCCACCCAGACTTGTAGAGGTTTTTTTTTGTTACGTGCCCATTCCAAAGCTCTTAGACTCTTACCCAAAGGATACAAACCCTGGCGTTTTCATGTATTCGAAGTACTGCAAAGGGACTTTGGAGATTCATGTTGCCTTATAGCCACCTGTATAAGGGAGCATGTCGCTGTGAGGGTTTGGAGGCAGTTGCTGAACTCAGAACTTACCAGCCAGTACAGGTTGTTCCTGGTATTCTGAAGCCAATACTCATTTTTGTCTTCCCAGATGGTCTCAAACATGTTACAGAAATCAAACTGCAGAAGTGTATTTACATACAGGATGAGTGTCTGCATAGGCTCAGCGAGACAAAGAATCTGCAGAAGAGCCTCCTCCAGCTGAAGATAATTTCCTGTGGGAATGTCACAGATCAAGGCATCATTGCGCTTCACAAGCTGATGTACGTGAGCTGCTGAGCTCTTCTATAGCACCTTGCTTCCCTGGCTGTTACACCCCATGGCTTTGGGATTGGGTTGACTACAAGGGCTGGACTCTTCATGTTTATGGGCTGATTTTGCCTGGTTTTATTTGATGATCACTCTGGTTTCTGGGCTGATCACACTGCTGCAGCTGCTGTTCAGGGCAGGCTTTGATGGTGTCGTGTCACTTCTATTATCCTTCTACACCTTGCATGGCTTCTGTCACTGAGTTATCTCATGCTCACTGCAGCCTCAAGGTGTCGGGGTGGACCTGAGTGCTTAGGCTTGGGGAAGCAGTTGGGTGCTGTGTACCTGTGCACAACATCCATGGGTGCTGTATTGAAATGTGGCCTTAAAGTGATTCAGAACTGTTTAGTGTCACATCAAGCTGCAAACATCAACAAATGGGTGATGGATTTCATCCTACAGAAAGGTTTTAATAAGGACTTTTTATATTACTCTAGTTATTATTTACATGAAAATAACTTTTTCTAGAATCTTAGAATATCAGGTTAAAGGGACCTCAAGGATCTTCTGGTCCAACCTATCATGGCTTGTGTTTTCTAAACTAAATTGCTATTGAAATGATCAAGTATTGTTCAATATAAAGCAAGCTCCATGATGCAGGGAGTCCAGGATCTCTTTTTAAGCTGTGTAGAAGGACGGAACTCATGGTGAGCTGAAAACCCCCCACTTCAGAAAATAAAACAACTTTTAAGATACTCAAACCAGCTCTGGTAGAATAATCCTTTGTCTAATTTCTGTGTCAACAGTTAAATAGTAGTCACTGACTTTTGTTTTTAAATATTTATAGGAACCTTGAATATTTGTATCTGAGTGACCTTCCTGGAATAAGACAGAAAGAAACTACTGCTCACGTCCTTCAGCAGGCACTGCCAAACCTCAAGCTGGAGCTGAATTTAGAATAAACACAATTGCTCATAATGGAGATGTATTTGATTTCATAGTGTTTATTGTATGTTGCATAAACCAAGCTGTAGACACTACTGTATTTCCAGGTATGGAAATAAGCCCAGATCGCCCAATGCTGCCTCAAAAGCTGTACACAATCTTTTGACAAATTATGCAATTAAGTTTTATTAAGGTTAAACTATATAAACTTAAGCTATATAAACTACATAAGCTTAAACTATTCTCTGATCAACAACAGAGCAGGCAGACTTGTGTGTGTAGTTACTTTATTCCTGGTTTTATAGGAATCTGTTGATACCTCAGTAGTTCTCAAGTATTTTACTGCACAGAAGTTCTTGTGCAAAACAACAGTGGGTAGAAGGTCAGTGTAGTGAAGCAGCAGTGCTGGGCGCTTCCATTCCATGGTGTTGTGGAACTGGAGCTCTTTACTCTGAGAATCTCACCTGGTTTGAATAGCTTAAGGGCCTTTTGTTAAGTATTCCTCAGGCTTTGATTCACGTCTTTGTTTAAATGAAGTGATCTACAAATAGGCAGTGTAGTCTCCTTGTAAACACTGAGCTGACAAACAGAACATTGAGGTGTTTATGGAGAAGCAGGGTCTCTCAGGTAATGTGTACTTATGGAGAAATGGGGTCTCTTGCATATGCCCTTGCACACATTTTTTCTGTATGTGGAGCTGGACTAAATGAGCCCTGTGTACCTGTTTAGTTGCATCCATCTCACTCCTGCTAAATAAGACAGTGATTCATCCTCAGGAAGAAGTGGTTTTAGTCAGTTCCTAGCTTTATCGTAAGGGAGGAGGGCAGCAAACAGTAACTCCAAGAAAGCAGATTTCCCAGCAATGCCTCAGACATGACAATCTCTGCATAACTGAGCACCTCTTGTCCCTCATTGCCAGCTTGGCTGCAGAAGGAAATGACTCCAGGCCATGGAAAGGACATTTTGTACTACCTGCATTGTGGGGCTGATTCTTTGTGGCACCTCCCAGCACTGAACAGGCAAGAATCGTGTACCTGTAGCCTGTGCTGCACCGGGCTGGTTCCAGGAGCCCACTGCCAGGCTATCAGCTGCTAATAACAACCTGTGGGTGCTGCAGTGCTTTGCACATACACGGGATTAGATGGCTGAACATCCATGCAGAAAATCCTGCAGTGCCACAGCTTTCTGAGTGTAACCAAAACTACTGAGGCACAAAATGTACGAGATTAAAATACATTAAATTACAACACAAAAGAAAAGGCAGACAGGCACTCTCTGTAAGGATATGGCACCTGTCCCAATGAAACTGCTTTACCAGTTGTTGAACACAGAACAGTATTGAGGAAAGAAAACACTTTTTGCTCTATGTTTTAAGTAAAAAGAGGATGTTTTGCCCAGTAGTAAAACTTTATACAGTAAAACACATCCAGTAAATTGGCAAAACTATATTTATTCAAAATCACCACAGTAGTATGTCCTAAGATTACACAAAACCTACAAATCGTTCTAATACATGTTGCTTAGGTAGAATTCCTTCCTGCGTCTGGCCAATGTTATAAATGATATTCATGAATTAGTTTTGACAAAAATGATTTCTGTAATACTACAGGCAATTGATTTTGCTGCTGATGGAAACAGCAAATAAAAATGAGCTCCTAATGCAAGGAAGAAACACACAGGAGAAGCTCTGAAAAGACTAAATAAACAACAGGTTGTATTGTTTCCTGGTAACAGTGCCCGCTGAGCCTTCCACTAGGTCTGAGTCATTACCAGTACCTTTAATACTGCGTAATCTTTAAATGTGGTAGGAAAGACAGACACCTCTTTAGACCCCTGCTACTTCAGCAGGTTTAGAACTTACTTGACTGGTCAGGCAGCCTCCCACCAGGCTTGGCCCCCCACACACCACCCATCCCCTCCTCTACTCCCACCAGCAAGGCATTCACAGTTCCTCATGGGATCAGTGACTCCAAAGCAGCGTTACTGCTTTGACACAGCTGGACTCTGATTGCTTTGGCAAGGCTGCAGCTCTGCTAACATGTCTGAAATATGGGGATGAACAGGCAAAAGCTTTTAAGCTCGCACTGCAAGCACTGGATTGCAGTAATCCTGAACTGGCACACAACCACAAACCAGTACACAACCATGAATTAAAGCAAATTAAATGTATTTTCCTTGGTACGCAGAGCACTGACTAACAGGAGCTTGGAGTTCTCTCTGTGCATCACTTCTGTTACTGACCCAGAGTACGTCACAGACCACTTTTGTGTATGTCCTAACAAGCAGTAATTTTGTTTTCCACCATTATTCCTTTTATAAATTGTGAAATGACTTGAACTTTGATCAGTGAATAGTTTTTAATTTGCCATCCAATTAGATGTTAGGGAAATGATAGTTTGATTTTCTCGTTTTGCAGCAGTACTTCTTGGTGTCCAACGCTGGTAGTACATTACTACTGGTTAACTGAGGCAGGTACTGTAACTGAAAGAAAAGTTACATAGTGTGTATTTGTTTGAAAGGAGACTAAAGCATGCATTTTATTTTTTCAAATGGAATATAAGCTATAACTGTATTCATCCTGTAATCCTGTGCTTTTCACAGGAGCTGGGCTTCTACAACTGGACCGGAACCAGAACAGCTCATTAAAGTTCTTTCTTCCAGTCATCCAGGACAGGAAAAATATTACTGTTATATCCCATGCCACAGAATATAGAAGAGGCAAGTCAGTTTGATCCAGGAATTTATACGCTGTAACAGTTCTCCATCCCACACCTCCAAACTCCCTGCTGTCTTGGGGAATGTGGCTCGCAGGAACACAGAACTGAACGCCTCTCCTCCAGAGGCTGGACCGGAGACTTGGGCTGGCGTCTGGAAAGACTGAACTGGGAAACATATGCTTGGCAGAAACACCCAGTGCATTGTGTAACATCTGGAACTACATAAGGGATCATATCCCATCAGCAGTTACAAACAGAACTGGGCATTTTTGCCATCTTCATAACTTGGAATTCAAAAGCACCAAAAAGATACCAGAGAACTCCAAATGAAACCAGCCACACCAGCCTGTCCAGCTATCCTGCTATTCTTTGTCAGGAATGCACATTCCTGGATAAACCTGATCTTTCACATGATGTGCTGCTTACCCCAGCGACCCAGTGGAGCTGCACACTGAATTCAGTTTGTACTGAGTTACTCTTTAGCCAAGAGGTTAATTTTCTCCTCGGGCTGAAATTAAGATGGGTCCAAGGCAGGAGCTCGCTCTCACCGTTAACTGCCCCCATGAGCCCACCTCCTGCAAGCCCAACAAAGAGAACCCCTCCTCAGGTACAGAACATGAAATACTACTATGAAAATGTTACCCCTGGCACATGCTTTTGAGTCAGCCGGGTTGGTTTCCGAGCTGCTTTTCCATGTTCTTTGCCCATATCCACTGCTTCCCTAATGCTGTCAAAGTAGGGGTGCTGCAGCAGCTGCTCACAGGTCTGCCTCTCTGCAGGGTCCATACGAAGGCAACTCTTTGAAAAAAGATGAAGTAATGGTTCACATGAAACACCCGTTAAACAGGTCTGCACAATTCCAGCTACTCACCAAGCCAACGACTATTCACACGGGTACAGTTGTTAATATTTTTCTTAATGGATTCTAAGAGTGGCTTTCCAGAGTCAGCATAAGGCATGCAAAGCAGCCAATACCCAACAACTGCCATAAGGCAGTAGCAGAAATTGCAGCTAGAGGGACAGTTGCAATTGAATGGTGTAGCAAACTTCTACAAACAGTTCAGCCCACAACCTTCATTTGAACTGAACAACTTTCTTAAGCAGGGGACTCCACTATGGCACTAGCCCTGTTGTGCCAGTGTGCAGCATAGCCAGGACTGTCCACAACTGCACCTTCTTGTTAATGTCTCCATCCTCACAGTTTCCATTCACTGCATCCTACTAAGGGAATAATATGTTTTCCACCTCCATGGTAAAAAGGAGTGGATTAAAAGTCCTCTCCAAATCCCCTGCAGCTCTGCTTTAAAATTAATTTCTGATAATTCAGTAGCTGACTCTCAAACCATTTACCAGCTGATAAGCAAAACCAGGCTGCATTTGCTAAGTCTTGGTGCAAAGCTCCTCCATGAGTGGTAGTTTTCTTACCTTCATGAGAGCTAGAGCAGAGTATGAAATATGAGGGAATTTCATTTCTAACGGCTCCTGGAGAGAAAACAAGAGTGAGTGTACTCAGGTTAGCCAGCTTTGAATTCATCAGGGTACAGAGAATCAGCTTTCCACAGCAACGTGACCTGTACCTCACAAAACATGTCTCTCACTTCATGCACTTAGAGGAATGCTACTGGCATTACTGAGGATGGGTAGGTTGGCTGCTGTGCCACCAGAACCAGGGCAAGGAGCAGAGATTAAGCATTTCTGACTGCTTTTACATAGGATATTTGTTAAAATGTCATGAGAGGGGTTCAGCCACCTCCAAATACTCTGGTGGACATTGGCAAAGTAGAGGGCAAAACTTCTGGATAGGGAAAAAATTCTGTGCAGCAAATGACTGGTCACACTGAGCAAGCGAGGCTTTTCCAGCTCTGATTCCAAAGCAGACAGCATGTGTACTCTGGGTAGAAAGAAGCAGGAACACTTCTCTGTCTGAACACTTCATCTCTTTAGCACTACACATAGACTGCTGGTTAGCACTGCACATAGATTGCTTAGGCTCAAGGGAAGTGTGTCTGGAGAGAGCTCTTACCATGCTTTCCGGGTCTGGAATTCTTATCCCATTGAAGAACTGGTTGGTGCTGAACACTTGCCGGTGCCTGGGAATAAGATCCCCTTTGACCAAGAATGAAAGTAAAAAAGCAAAGTTGGATTAATTTGCTAGTTTTACACACCCTGCATTGAACAAGCTGACAAGGCTGACACCATCCGAGAGAATGTCTGAAGACATGGAATAACATCAAGTGAGCTGATGAAACCTTCTTTTGCAAAAACTAATGTCCACCTCTAACACTGGTGATCCCACAGCTGTGTGACTGTGCTGAAGGAAAGCCAGGGCCACATAGCTCCAGCTGCCCGTGGTCACAGCTGCCCAGGACCTTGTGCTGTGAACAACTCAAAGAAATTCAGCTGGTGGGAGGATGTTTTGTAGCAGCAGTACCCAGCTACCATGCACTGGTGAGAAACTCAACATGATCTGGCAGTGTGCACTTGCAGCCCAGAAAGCCAACTGTGTTCTGGGCTGCATCACCAGCAGCATGGCCAGCAAGCTGAGGGAGGGGATTCTCCCCCTCTACTTCATGTCTGTGAGACCCCACCTGCAGTCCTGCATCCAGCTGTGGGTCCACAGGGTAAGAAGTATGTAGACCTGCTGGAGTGAGTCCAGAGGAGGTCATGAAGGTGTTCAGAAGGCTGGAGCACCTCAGCTCTGGAGACAGGCTGAGAGCTGGGGCTGTTCAGCCTGGAGAAGAGAGGGTTCTCTCCAAGGAGACCTTAGAGCAGCTTCCAGTACCTAAAGGGGCTGACAAGAAGCTGGAGAGGTACTTCTGACAAGGGTCTGTTACGGACAGGACAAGGGGGAATGGCTTTAAACTGACAGAGAGCAGATTTAGATTAGCTATTAGGAAGAAGTTCTTCCCTGTGAGGGTGGTGAGGCACTGGCACAGGTTGCCCAGAGAAGCTGTGGCTGCTCCATCCCTGGCAGTGTTAAAGGCCAGGTTGGACAGCGCTTGGAGCAGCCTGTTCTAGTGGAAGGTGTCTCTGCCCATGGCAGGGGGTTGTAACTGGATGACCTTTAAGGTCCCTTTCAACCCAAACCATTCTAGGATTCTATGATCTTCCAGGCTCTGTGTTGTGTGGCAAAGTGGCTTTTATGAACTGCGGCCACTATACCTGGGGGCCTAAAAAATACATATTTCTATGTATCTCCCCATGCCAAACACCTGATCTGATCCTATCACTGCATTATCTGAGTAACTGCAAATTTGGATTTGCACTAGCAAGAAGACCCCTTGGTAAAACACCAGGGAATAAGGTGGGCAAGGCACTAAGTTGCATAAACATGTCTGCTCTGTGCCAGCTCCTGGATCTCCACTCTGTGCTGACTGAACTCTGGATGTGTGTACCAGTGAACAGGAGAACATGTTTCAGCATCATAGCTAGAGGGTGCTGTGCAAACACCTACGAGGATCTGAAACTCCAGCCATGGCACATCACCCAGCTTCAGCCAGGGATCCTTCCCAAAGTATTAAGCAGGATCAGACCAGCAGCTACCTCCCCTGCTCACATCAGACATGATGGACCAACCCTGGGCTCTGATGAGCAACTGGCAGGAGCCACTGTTTGTTTTGGAGGTGGCTGTCTGGCAGCGTGAGCAGCATTGTTGATGTGCTCTCTTGGAGGGAGGGTGAGGCAAGCTCTGCTGGCCTGCTCTCCATGCCAATGCTGTGTTTCAGCATTTTCAAAGGCAAAGGGTTCCCAAGAGGCAGCCTGTCTGCATAAACAGTTGTTGCTTCTCTGACTGCTGGAAGGGGACAGGCTAACCACAAGTGTTCTAGCTTCATTAAAATTTAACTCATATTGGGTGAAATTATTTTTCTACACTCCTGAGGATGTTGTATAGAAAAGAGATTAAATGTAGCACCAACAGGAACAAGCTGTAGCTTTTTCCCAGCACAGCTTCATGTCTCTTTCTCAAAGCTTAGAGCAGCTCAGAGCAAGCTAAATGTTAAAATCAAACCTGTAACAAAAGAGCAGTACACCAGCCAAACTACCATAATTACACAGCTTTGGCCAAGGAGCTTTTGCTGCCTCAGTCTGTCACCTGGATCAAAAGGGAATTTCTTCTGGCCGAAACCCTATCATTAAAAATAAATGATAACTTACTTAACACTGGCAGAAACATATTCTGGAGGATGAAGCAATCAACGTTGAACTGCTTTTCCAGCTAAGGAGCTTTTCCATTTAAAGCCATTAGTCACCTTTATGGTTTTATAAACTGCTCAGCAAAACCTACCATTTTCAGTTCATTTCAACAAATTTCAACTAAAAGTGAGGAGTTGTTCCTTTCCACCTGAGCCATCAGATGTTACACACCAAGGTCAAACTCAATCAATGAGACAAGATTAATTTAAGTGTCATACAGATAATGTCTCTTTTATTTAACCCCTGTTCCAAATATGGAGCAACTCCTAAAATTCCTTGGTGAATAAAGACAAAGGGAACAGACAAATTTCAGTGTTCACACTCTCTTTCCCAAGCACACAGCTATCCGCAGGCACTGGCAATGTTTATGAGACCTCCAAAGCTGTGATAAACTAAATCCAACTATTTGTTATCTAGAGGCAGGGACTGCTTTGCTTGGTACCAAACCCTGAAAAATACCTGGATCTTTCTCACCTTTATGCAAAACATCCCTGGTCCTTTCTGATACAGGCACCCCATTTTTCTATCTGTGTGGGGACAGCTGAAGATGGGCAGGACAGCAGCAGAGATGGTTGTTCCTATGCCACCTGTGCAGGGCTGGCCTTGTGCTCCTCACACCCTGTACCACCCCAAAAGAGCAAGAGAGGCATCTGATGGTCACCCAACACATCTTACATCTTTCTTAAACCACCAGGCTCCAGAGCCAGCTTCCAAGAGACCACCACTGCTACAGAGAGTAGAAGGATGGTCTTGGGCAGTTTGCAGGCAATGATCCTACTTACACAACCCTGTCCATTTTAGCCACAGTCTGGCACTGCTGGCTCACACAAGCTGAAGCCACAGATCTGTTTCTGAAGAACAGTCAACACCCACATAGATGCCAACTTTGTTTCCCCTGGACCTGCAGCAGCACCTGTCACATCCTAACAAGATGTACACATGTAAGTCATGCCAGTAAAACCCAGCTCTTATAAAAAAGGAGAGATCCACTGCATAAATTCACCTCCTGGCTAAACCTGATTTCCACCACAGAGGACAGTCCTCCAGGCAAGCTGTAGTCCTGCCAAAGGCATCAGGAAGGCCAAGGCTCTGACCAGGACACTTACCTAGGGTTCTCCGGATGAGGTACAGCTGGTCAACGTCAGACTTGCCAGGCCACAGGGGGACCCCAGACAGCAACTCTGCAAAGACGCAACCTATTGCCCACACGTCTACAGGAGGTCCATACTGGTTGTCTCCCACAAGTAACTCCGGAGAGCGGTACCACCTGGTAGCCACATAGTCTGTGTAATAATCACTCGGACCAGCTAGGTTGGGGTCAGGAAGGAGAGAAATAAACAGGAATATAGGATCAGAACAATGAAGATGAGCAACTATAAGTCGTTACACATGTTGGGGCACCTCCTGGGCAGGCAATAGCTACAGGAACAGAATGAGTCACTGGCCACTAGCAAAACCTAACTTTGGAAACACTTCAGATATGGCAAAAATCAAGACCGTATTTTTCTCCCAATGAAAATATGCAGAGCTCCACAGCAGGGCCCTGCATCAGCCAGTGGTCAGTTCTCAGAGCCCACGTGATTTGTTTGAACAAGAGCTAAAAAAACCCAGATTAGGGGGTTTATTTACCATGGAAAATGTGAGACCATTGTTTGCAGAGACAGTGCCTTCTGCCAGAGGGGCTCCTCCTGCCAGGGAACTCCAGCTGTGTCTCCAGCATTGCATAAACAACGGCTGGGCAGCTCCAAGATGCCCAAGGCCAACTTCCACCTACCAGTGCCAGCACCACCAGCAGTTCAGCTGCACCAGCAGGGAGCTCAGGCCAAGTTTGTTTACAGAGGCACTTGGTATCCCAGTGCCTGGGCTAGCTCCCTTTAAACTGGTTTGTGGATCTCTTCTTGCCCTTTAGCAGAGCTTCTCTATGAAAACATGCCAGCCTTTATACAGGATGATTTATACATGCATCAAAGACAAGTTAGTCTTTACTGATGTTTGGAAGCCTGATCCTACACTTTCTTTGAGCTTTCAAGTGTTAACAACCTGTATAAGTAGCATGTGGCACTCACTCAGTATGCGAGCAAATCCAAAGTCACAAAGTTTGATGACCGAGTGCTTTGTTATCAAGATGTTTTCTGGCTTTACATCTCGGTGGATGCACTGGAAATGGAAAAAACCCCAAGGTTAGAAGCAAGTCTTTAACCTGGCCATCAGATAAAGAACCTCTTAATTCAGCCGCACAGCCCTTGCACATTGTGCTGGGCAATCATTCCTGCTGAAAGAGAAGACGGAAGGATTTCTTAATAGCAGCTAAAGCTACGTCCTGCTGAGCAGGACAATTACCCTGAGTATACCCCACCTTTGGGATGAGACACTACAGGCTCCCAGCTCCAACTGCATAGCTCTGTATCACTTGGACAACACCAAGTCAGCTCCCCAGAACTAGCTGGGAATCTGCTAGAAGGAGGAGCGAGGTTTGCATAACAAGGATTGTTGTTAACCTGGCTCTCTGCAAATGCAACTCACTTGAAACAGCTATGTGAAACACACTCCCAAAAAAGGGACTTGGGTTTACAAATATGTAAGGAGATCCTAATGAGAGGTGTTTAGGTCCTTTAGGATCTTGGACAAGTCCATGAACTGTATTTACTGATAATCTAGTAGACAAGCAAGTGATTTTGCTGGCAAAACTTACAGATGAGATGAAGGCTACCTTTTATATACGGGACTTTATCTATCCTTGCAGATGCCAGAGCATGCCTGGTATTCCTTCTACGCAGCACAGGTGAGACACATCCAGAGTTCTGTGTCCAGCTTTGGGATCCTCAGTAGGGGAAAATGTGGGCATACTGGAGTCACTCCAGTGAAGGGCCACTAAAATGATTCAGGGATTGAGGTATCTGGTATTTAAGGAGAGGATGAGCGAGATGGGACCATCATTCATTCAACATGGAGAAGAGAAGGCTCAGGGGGGACCTTATCAATGTGCATAAATACCTGATTGGAAGAAGTAAAGAAAACCAGGCTGTCCAAAGAGTTTGTGGAGCCTCCATCCTTGGAGGTACTTGAACCCTGACTGGAAAAATCTCTGAGCGGCCTGCGCTGGCTGCCCAGCTTGAGAAGGGGGTGTGGATGAGATGATCTCCAGAGGTCCCTTCCAACATCAGCAATTCTGTGATTCCTGGGAGGTTGACCTTGCCTGCTGAAGGTTCACAACAACTGAATTTGGGCTTGGCAAAGAGTTTCTATTGATCAAACTAGCAGCAACCTTAATTTCTTCTGCCAATTTACAAAAGGTGTTTTCTACTGAAATCACCAGGGTCTAGCTCACGTTGTCTCTCCCCTACCATCACCTCAGCTCAAACACATCAGACTTTTCCTAGCTAAGCTGGTAGATTACTGTGTCTCCTCCTGAGGACTGAAATGCTGCATGTTACACCGGTGTCATGGAGTTCCAAAAAGGGCAGCTGCATAAAACTTCATTACCTGTGATCTACAGCTGGTCAGACTGCAGCATCTCATTGTTCCCTCTGCTTTAAAACTCCATTAAATCTTTCAGACTGAGTGGAAGAATAGAAAAAAGAAGCGAAACAACAGATCTTGGAAGCAAGACAGACCTATGGCCAAGTTCCTGTGGTTCAACTGGACATACTTCTCCCAGCAAAGACAAAACACCCATTCCAGACCGATCTCCTGCTTGACTCTTAAACCTCACACATTGGAAAATAAACAAAACCAAAGACAATTACAACTAAGTTTGCCTACAGAACTTCTACAAAAGTCTCCTTTCTTTCCCTGCTTCTTAAAGAATCCCTATTGCTTTCTATGAAGTATGTGTCACTTACAGAACACTCACCTCCCTCCAGAAAGCAGAAGAGGGGTTGTAAAACTGGTTTATTGAATCTAATATTTGTAACTTTTTTAGCTGGTGTCATGATTCAATACCTATGACTATCAACAGAAGGGCTTTTTGTGAAATCACCAGGACTTTGCTCAGGTCTCAGCTGATGAGATGTTAAGCCAGATTTCTAAATGTCAGTGGCACTGGGAACACAAAGGGATATATACCTGCTCAGCCTGGAAGCTTATCCAAGGTCATTAGTGCAAATCATTCCTTGACAGCAAACCCAAGGGACCTGCGTGATAGGGAATGCAGCTGTTGCGGGTATACACCAGTATTTCAGATACATGTTTCTTGTTGAAAACAGGAAATTTCATCTGACTTCATCCCATGAAAACCATGTCATGAGGAAAACGGCAACAGAATCTCCATTCCTCCAAGGCCACATTTACAGCAATCAGTAGTGCTGTTTAGGGGACTTACATTGTGTTTATGGCAGAAGTTCACAGCTTGGAGGGTCTGCCAGATTATGCTCTTCACTAGATGTTCCGGCACCCTGTTTTTAAAAAAGCACATTTTTATTTTGGCCATTAAAAATAACTTCACTGTTGCAGGAAAAAGGAAGTAGAGGCCTTTTGAGTGCTAACACTGCACAGGATTCTGTGACCAAAACCATCAGGATCAGGTCAGAAAACTTAGAGGAAAAACACTAGGCACATTTTCTTGCTATAAGTAAGTTATAAGAAACACATAATAACCCTCAGTTTGTTGATCTTCCAGTGCAGCTAACCTGTCATGCTGGGCGGCTGGTGGTGAAGCCTGTTTGTACCTTTTACCAGGTTTCAGAGCTGAGGCTGAGGTGCATCCCTGCACAAAGCAACGCTCTCCTGTGAGACTGCCCTTCAAGCATCACAGGAGCGTCAAAAGGAATGTCAATACCACTTCCAAATCCAGTCAGTGCAACAAGATAGAAGGATTTATGTCAGGTAAGAGCATGCCAGCAGGTCTGGTACCACTCAATCACAGCCAGCATGAAGTCTGCCAGCTGATGACCACACATCAACACATGAAAGTCGGTGTCAAATCCTGCCTTGTGGCTGTGCTTAGCAGCCATGCTTCCTGGCAATCCCAAAACACCAGCAAGCATTTCTGCCTCTGCAGCTGCTCAGAGTTGGAAGTGGTGAAATATCCGGGGTATAAACGGACGACTTGCAATGCTGTCATGTCACTGATTGTCCAGAGAGGAGAGGTGACCAAAATGGGATGGGGAAGGATGTTCCTACAAGAGTATAAAGCTCTACTTCTGTTTGCATCTCCTCTTCTTCCCTCTAGCAGCTGGCAAACACTTCAGAGAAAGAAAACTCTGTGAAAGATCCAGCCTCCTCTCCTCTCTTTCAATTACTGTGCAACAGTTCTTAAACTTCCTTGTCAGCCTGTAAGCATCTTTAACAACCTCAGGAAAGGAAGAAGTGACAATCTTGGCACTTCCAAACTCAAATACCATTTTACTTCATGTATTTAATGCTGAAAGGCTTCTGATTCATCACAAATTAAAAACAAAACAAAAAAATATCCAAAAGAATTTTCAGGAATTCTGTTTTTTTCTGTAAGGCACCTTCTGCTGACAGCACTGAAGGTCTTGCTCTGACAGTGCTGGTGCAATGCTGGAGTTTCCTTGCAGAAACATCCTAGAGCACCCTGAAAGTACTGTGCTGACAGCCTGACAAGGGGATGAAGTTGGTCAAATAACCTGGGAACATGATGCAAAGAGGCCTGTGCCCACCTACCTTAATCCTGACCACAAAACACTTGACCATCTGACATAGCAAAGATCAAAAGCAAAGTATGCAACCAGGTGTTACATGTTCATTCACACTGGAGTTGTTCTGATGAACAGAAAGTAAATGTGAAGTATTTTCTCCAAAGAGGGTTATCCACCCTCTCTTCAGATTCCATGTGAACAGTTCAAACTGTGATGAAAGTTGCTCATCAGCTCACAAAGACATTACCTATCAGTGTGCTCCATTCTCCTTCAGAGCTCCCCATAAGGAAGAAAGAGAATAACAGGCTCTGTTTACTCAACCCCCAGTTAGTCTCCTGCAGGCAATTCATTTAGCTCCAGGCCTGTAAAATGATTTGTGAACTTCTGCTTAGCATTTCCATAGCACCAAGTCACTATGAATAATTAGGGACAATTTATTAAGTGGGAGTATCATTTATAATGTGTGAAAAGAACAAACCCTGTCCTGGAGAATGTTCCTTCTGCCCATGTAGCTCACACTGTGTGCAAGCACCTGTTAAAGAAGAAGGTATCTGACCAGGGAGTCCACTGAGGCTGTGCAGAGAGTTGCAGGCACAGCTTCTCGTAACTCCTGCCACCAACTTACTCCTTACCACTGCAGCATCACTAGAAGTCACTGGTCTGTCATACAGATCATCAGTGACATTGCTACAGACTTGTATATTTGGGTGCTCAGTGACACTCCCCCTATGCCCACAGCCCACAGGGACGTGCAACACACTAGGGGGAATGCCCACCTCCCACAGCAGCCCTAACCTCTTTGCAGTGAGACACAGAATGCTCCCAAGCCATTTGTGTTTGCTGCTGCCAAGCCAGCCAAAGAGCACCCAAACACTCAGGCTCAATGCTCCAGTCTCCTTGGTGAGCAACACGCAGAGGCTCATACACAATTCTTTTGGACATCACTGCTATATCACAGGAACAAAGCAAGTCCGGGGCACTGGGCTGGGAAACCTCTCCTGTACTTAATGAAATTCCTCTGAAAACTCTGCAGAGCAGCAACACCATAGACACCCCTTAATCTTTTGTTCAAAGCTCCCAGTGAGAAACAGGCCACTCACCCCTGGGGGTGCTTGTCCAGCTCATGGAGAACTGTGTGGTCGCAGTATTCGAAGACCAGATGCAGCCTGCGTTTCCTCCTGAACACTTCCAGCAGGTTCACCAGATTGGGGTGTTTCAGTTGCTGTAACACACAGTGGATGGAGTGGTTAGTTACTGCACAGGGGAGTGGGGTAAAGAGGTGGGACAGTGCTTTTGCCCCCAAGGGTCTCAATTTCTTAAGCTGAAACCTTTTATGCAAGCACAAGACAACATGAAGAAGCAGCTCAGCTATAGCTCAGCCTGTGGTGTAGTTATTTTAGGAACTGACTGTGAGTAACAAGTCAGCTTGGCTTCAGTGAGTGCCCCTTAGAAAAGATGCTCATAGATACAGAATTCATCATGGTGCCTACAGCTATTCCAGCAGCACCTTTCATTGTATATATCCAGCCTCCGACTGCACCACAATGAAGAGCAGCTCTCCCTGGAGAACAGCTTTTGAAATCACACATGTAAGAGCCTGTAGCAGGCTAACATAAGTTTAGGAGAAACCAAGAGCTCCTCTAGTAAGTGTAAGTAAAGCAGATGGGCTCAGCTTCACCTACTTATTGTCAGAATCTGGGAGGGTTAATTAGGAGAATTTTTATTGCTGCTCCCTCCTTTCCCTTTTAATCTGCTTCATGTGCTCATACCAAGGCTTCCTCTCCTGGGGAGCTGAGACAGCTTCTTCCCACACGCAAAGACTGAGCACAGCATGGTTGTTCAAACACACCTTGGAAGAGGTGAGGGTGGACATTACTGAAGCTTCTAATTTCCTGTTCTTTTACCCACATTTTGAGGGAGTGCTGGGAGAGGGCCTGAATCAAGGGGCATAACATTGTGCTCGGAAAAGAAAACAAACAAAAGCCAGACCCAGCTGAGGAATGCTATTTCTTTTCTGATGACTCATGGAACCATCCCCTCTGCTTGCAGGGACCTGTATCCACCAGTGCTTTGCCTGACCAAGGCTTAGAATAAACATGTTTCTAAGCAAGAAGGCTGGAAAGGGCATTGCCTAGGAGTTACGCTAATGCCACTTTCTAATGTGCCTGTGAGACATCTGGGAAAGCCTGCAAAGTGGAAGGAAGAGGAGAGTCAAAACTAGAGAAAACTGTAAGGGGTACCAACTGAGGAATGCAGCTGTTTGGAGAAGCACCCAGTTAACCGCAAGGAGCTCTGAAATCCACAACTTGAATCCTGAGGTTAACCAGTGAGCTTGAGTAAAAGAGCAGGTCAGTAGAAAACCCCACCATACCTCATTGCCAGTCTGTCACGACAGTAGGGACATGGCAGGGGCCATTTCAGTGCTCCAGTGGGCACTGTGGGACCCTTTGCAAAATGTAATTTTCTCCAAGCATGTCACTATAAAAGTCTCTTGAAAAGAGAGACCTTTCAGGGAGCTCACTGCCTCTGGGGGACATCATACTGAACCCAAACTACACTAAGCCCATATGCCAACACCACACAGCATCCCTGGTAGTGTACAGGTGGCTATTCCAGTCCTGCAAACCAGCAGCAAGGAACTGGTCTGTCTAAACAGCATCTCTTAACTACATACGTTGCTTGTTCCTTCAATTCTGCTCACACTGTGTAAACCACATGCCAAGATCAAAGACCTTCACACCCATCTGGATCAAATCTAGGTCACAACCAAGACCTTCCGAGTACTTCTTCAGTCCTCTGTGGTATTTTTACACTGAGTGCCTTCCCTCTCTAGCACAAGGTACCCAACAGTGTCAGCAGGGACTGACCTTCAGTGTAACCTTCTCTGTCCTGACCATGTCTCCTGACCTCACATAATGGATGGACTTCTCTGCATACCCTTAGTTCCTATGGCAAGGCTGCTAAGCCACAAGGGGGGAGGCTTGTAACACTTCTCAAACTTTCCTATCTACCTAGTAGTACCTCTATTCTCACCACTTCCTTATTCACTTCAAAAAAGATGAACAGAGAACAGCCTGCAAGCCTGCTGAAAATTCCAGCAATGATAGCAATTCTCCCAGGAATTGTGTGCATGCCATGCTACTTAGCCTGTTAAGCATATTCACATAGAACAAAGTACCTACTTACCACGTGCACATTAGAGAAAGCCCAGTCTACCAGTTCAGACTCCCCCACAGAAGTCAGAATGCTGCTGTGGCTCTGAATGCCCAGACCAGCAGCTCCTGATACACTGCATAATGCAGAGCCTTCCTTTTCCATGCATTCGGCGTGTTGCCATATTATGTTCTCAGATCAGTGATAACTGATCAGAGATACCCGAGAGCAAGCTGGGCCTCCATCAACTATGCTGCGCAACAGGCACGTGATTCCTCTGTTACCCTCAGCAGATCTGCCTGCCAGGATGGACAAACTGCTGGGCACAGCAAAGCCTGCCAGCAGGAGGGAAACGGAGGAGATAAACCCTGCAGTGCTTACATTCCACTTTCAGAGAGAGGTGAGGATTGTACAGCAAGAAGAAAGTTAAATCAACAGTAACAGATTGAGATCTCTGGAAAACCTCTGTCAGTTACAGGCTGATTGTATGGGTCAGGCTTCAGAACATGCTGTGCTTGGGAGCATGACTGTGCTGGCTATCAGGACATGTGTGTGGAGTGCGGTTTATGGAGAGAGTAAGCCTGGACTTGGAAGCACACAGGCTCTCCAGGCATTTGGGTTCACTGGGCTGGGCCAGCATCTCTTTTGCAGGCAAGCATGCACACAAACCCACTGTTACCCTAACAACGTCCCTGTCAGGTAGAGAGGTGTTTCAGAGAGCAGTTTCTAAGGCTACCAAAGCTGCCAGTGGCTGGTTGCTGGCAGCACTAGGATGAGCATCCCCTCCCTGTCCCCGGCTTGGGTGACAAGACCACATGTCACCTTCCACAAAAACGTCAGATGTCTGACATGGGCTTTCCCCAAAAAGTCATAATTTCTCCCATGCTAGGCTAATAGGGATTATTTTCTATTTTCTATATGCACGCAGCTTTGCATTGCATTTTTCTCTCATCTTCTTTGCAATGTCAAAGCTAAAAACTGTCAGCCTTCATGTGAAGGCTGGGGAACCAACACCCTTCTAGAAACAGCAGCAGTGATGGGGGAACACACAGACTTGCTGTTTTCACATATTTCTGGCCTTTCCTATGGAATCAGGATCACGCAGGGTGCTTCAAGACTCTGCATACCACCACGCTCTCCCACCCCACCTCCCATGGCTCCCAGGGCCATCAAAAGTCCCTTATCTATAAGGTGTTTACTATGTAGAATAATAATTTATAAGGCCTTACAATTTTGCTGATGAAACACAGTCTCTACATCTTGACAAACACTTGTTGCCTAAGACAGGAAATACCTCAACAACCAACCAAACAAACTGTTACTATTTACAGAGGAAAAGTTGAAAAGCTACTCAAGCAGGTCTGCACTTGTTAAAATCAACAGTGCCCTGACACTGATCCTGCCATGGCAGCAGTGTCAACTTTGGACCCTGAAGGAAGATGCACTTATCATCTGCATTAAAAGTGACTTCTGCAATTATTTTCCTTTATGATCTTTAATATAATTTACATCTTAATGCATCTCCAGCCTTGTTTAATAAAGCTACTTGTCATCTGTTTGCTTCAGATGGGAGAAAAACACAGACTGCTTCTTCCCAAAATCCAACTGAAAAATAAATATGCCTTTTTTTCCTGGATGACGGCTCTTCTAGGGTGCCCCCTAGGCTTATTTTGCCTGTTTTTGCAGTGAGTAAAGAATCAGGCCTTCATATTCCTTTAGCAATAACATTTATACCACTTGTTTATACATAAATGCTCTATAAAAGTCAAGCACAAAGAGATTTTTGGAAAAGAAATACAAGAAATATTGTAACCTGTTGAAATCTTGTGTTTAATTGCAAATCTGAAAGCATTGGTTCCCAGGAAGCCAGTGAAGCTAACTCGAGGGAAGGGAACACTGAGTGCAACGAGAATCAACTGATGCTATGCAAATACCAACAGGCAGTGAAGTCTGGGAACGTTGTGCAGAAATCAGAGAACTAAGAATTTTGGGAAAGAAATTCTAAATAAAATGGAACATATTTCCCTGTGGATTTCTGTCAGGTTTTGTTAACTCCAAAATCCTAAATCATTGACTGTCTACAAGCTTGCACTGTGTTTAATCTGAATGCCACTTTTCTTGTAAAAAGGAGTCCTACTGGAAGCCATTATTTTAGAATGTATAATAAACCAACATGCTGCCAATATGGCTCTTTAATCAGTGTTTTAAAGCTATGGCTCTTCTGCAAGGAAAAGAGAAAGCTGGAGATGGAGAGATGATGGAGGTGTAGAGTACCCTGGAGAAAAGGGAACAACTCTCCATTTCTTGGAATACACAACTGAGGGTACCATGGGCCATCAGCAAGTTTATAACAAATATAAAGATATTTTTTCACAAGACATTCCTAAAGTTGCGGCACTCACTGCCTCAGGAAACCATGGAGACCAAATGAATACACCAGTTCAAAAAGAGATGGAACAAACTCCAGTTTATGAACGTCTGGTAAGCATGAAGCAATGGGTACAGCCTCTGGATCTAGAAACTTCACCTGAAAAATACATCTATGAAAGGAAATCTTACCCCATCCTCTCCCTCTTTCTCCCAGGTTTCTCCTCATTTCTGCATGCTTGATGGACTTCGGCTCTAACTTACTGCAAATGTCCTCATGCTTTTATTTTACCAGAAAAATAAACACAGAGGCTGAATAAGTAACCCATTTCTATGTGAGGATAAGTCCTCAGAGGAAAGTCAGGAAATGATTAGCCAAGACAAGGTGCTGCCATGGTTCACAGGTGCAGGTTCTACAGCTGCTTCCATGTAAGGTGAAAAACTCTGAGCCTACACAGCCCCTGACATTCAGTACATGGCTGGATAACTGCCTGCATGTCAGGGTCTGACACTGTGGATTCCCCCACAGCCAGGGGCTGAAGAAGTGTGTTAGAAAGAGGAGCTGGGGCAGATTTATAAAGAGCTAGGAGAGCTGTGCCCCACGGCTGTCCCCTACCTCATGCTATCCGGGATCACTTTTTGTTCACATACTTTACCAGAGCTTCAACAGTCCCCCTCTCTGGCGCCGACAGCGCACTGAGGGCAGAGCTGTGCCTGTACCGGCCAGGACATCGCTGCCTGCATGGGGGACAGAGCCCAGCTCAAGAGGGCACAGTGATGACTTTGCTGGTGCTCCCGCACCCGCGCAGAGGTCGGCCGGCAACTCGCTCTCTGCAGCGTCCCAGCTCCCACCTGCACCCATTCTCTCTGATCTGTGACAGCCTGGGCTGCGGAGGATCACCTCCGTCCCGAGGCATGTCCGTCCCTGGCCAGAGCGGTCAGACTCTCACCGGCACTGCCTTTCTGCCAGAGAAACGGACAGACTTGGGCGCTTCACATACCGCTCCCTCACATCCCGCCTCCTCGCTTCACCCCTTACGACGCCCCGTCTCTTCATGGTTGCTCTCATGGCCCTTCTCACGATGAGCTTCCTCCCTCACACCCGCTCCCGGGCAGCATCCTCAGGAACGCCCAGCCGCGATGGCGGGGAACAGTCCACCGCCGCCACGCCGGGAGCAGTGCCGTTCGCTGCGGAGCCCACCCTCCCCAGCCGTCCCCGGGGCGGATGACGCGAGGGGCTCGGAGAGCCAGCGGGGCCGGGGGCCCGTCTGCCGCCCACCTTCAGCATGCGGATCTCCCGCAGGGCGATCTTCCTGATCACTGGGTCCTCCTCGGACTCCAGGAACTTCTTGATGGCCACGATCTGACCGGTGTCCTTGTTGCGGCATTTGAAGACGACGCCGTAGGAGCCCTCCCCGACCTTGCCCAGCTTCTCGTACCGCTCCATGGTGCAGTGCCGGCGCGGCGCCGCAGCTTCCTCGCCTCTGCGGGCCCAGCTGTGGACCCAACAGCGGCCCCCGCGGCCACCGTTACCCCAGCGGCGCGGACAACGGCCCCGCCCGCCCTCCGCCAGCGCTGTGGCTGGGGCGGGCCCTGAGGGAGCGGGGGGGCCCGCGGGCGAGTGTCGGCGTGTGTCCCCGGGACGCTGAGGGGAGCGGGGGAGGAACCGCCCTGGGGACCACAAACCCAGGAAGGAGCGGGCCATGGCCGCTCTCGGGGACACAGGAGTCCCCCGCCTCCCTCAGGCCTCGCGTCCCACAGCTCCATTCTGCCTTCGCCCCCCCCTCAGCGCTCCGCAGTTTCACAGCGGCCGCTGTTTTTTACTGATCGCCCTGGAGGTTGGGGGGAAGAGGGAACACCTCCCCAGAGCGGGCAGCACCCGCACTCTCCTGTAGCTGCCTCCGAGGGCCAGCACCCGCTCCACAGCGAGGCCTGGCTGCCGCACAGGGTAAGGGGTTGCCTGTTTGGGAAGCACAGGCATCCTGTGGAGCGCTGCCACAGCGACGTTCCAGCTCCACGGTTGGTGTGGGGCCCGGAAGACGATGCATTTCCCTGTAACATCTCTGCCCTGTACAGTTCAAGCACCTCAGGTGTCTGCCATCTCATGAGCTTCCCACCAGGAGCTAGATCCTTTCAGTGAGTATTTCCATCTCTTACCTTGGCATTACCTATCCTCATGGGCCCTAGCTCTTTAGCCATTCCCTCATACCCTGATGGAACTTTTTTGGTGGCTATTGCTTCCAGCAGTAGATTTTACAGACACAGACGTCCCATACAAAGGCAGAGAAAATTTGGGCTGTTCAGCCTGAAGAAGGTTGCGAGGAGACTTCCTTACAGTATCTGAAGGAAGCCTACAAGGAGGCTGGAAAGGGGCTCTTTGTCAGGGAGTACAGCTAAAAAGGGGAAGATTTAAGTTAGTACAGCTAAAAAGGGAAGATTTAAGTTAGACATAAGGAAGAAGTTCTTCCCTGTGAGGGTGGTGAGGCACTGGAACAGGTTTGGCCAGAGAAGCTGTGGCTGCCTCATCCCTCGCCATGTTCAAGGCCAGGTTGGACAGAGCTTGGAGCAATCTGGTCTAGGGAAGGTCCCTGCCTATGGCAGCAGGGTGGAACTATATGTTCTTAAGGTCTTAAGTGCACAGGTGGCCACTACACAAGAGCAAGGCTTGTACAAACTGCTGTATATCCTGCTGAGGCCAAGCTGTGTCCAGGGGCAGAATATCAAATGCTCACATTCATGTTTTCTTTTTCTAAGCAACTCTCCTTTATTGCCCACCAGCCACCTTGCCATCTGCCCGATGAACCGGGCACAAGGTTCTGCTTGTGCTGGCACAAGCCAGCCTCTGCTTTTCAAGCTGAGCAACTCATAAGGGGTTCCGTGGTGACTCCAGGCAACTGGCAGCAGGGCTGTGCTGGAGCAGAGCGGCGGGCAGCACAAAGCTGGAAAGGGTTTGCCACTGCTAACCTGGTTTCTCATTTCTGCACTATCCATAGATCTCCCTTTCCTTCGGTCAACCTGCTGTATGTGGGTGATGCCGTGTGGCTCCCAAGCACCCAGCAGGACTGAGAAGAGTGTTCAGGCCCAGATCACGCCCTTCCCACTGCCATAAAACCTAGAGCCCAGTTGAATTCTTTTGAGATATGTCTGATAAGGTATTGTTCCCAGCAAGTCTACCACACCGCATTTAGGTATCAAATAAAGCAGAGTTTATTTGGCATAGACTGAAATGAACTGCAACAGGAATTTATGTAGAACAAAGCCTAGTTATACAAACTGGAATGAGTGCAGTTAGAGTTTCAGTTACAATCTAATGGCTAAACAAGGTAAAAAGTACATTTCAGAAGTCTCCCAGTCTTGTCCTTTTCATTCCGAGATATAGTGGCTCACTGATGCGTTGTACCTTTCATCTTTTGAAGAGGTGTCATCACAATTACAGTTGTATTTTTCAGTCACAATGAATTTGGTTAGGAAATGAGAAAAGACTAATCTACAGGCTGCTCTTCAAATACTGTCTGCACTTCAAAGAGCACTGGGATATTGTTTTAAGGCTTTCAAGTTGAATACATGAACCTTGTGCATCAAATAATTAATACTTTAACAGCTGTCGAAACAGTGATGAGGGGCTGAGCTAGCTTTTGCTTTATAAACTCCAAACCCACACACTAGGCTTTTTCAACCTTGGTTGAAATGTTAGAAAAACAAAGATATAAACAATACCCGACTAACATAAAACAGTCTAACAAATACAAATTACACTAGTCAGAGTCACTGAGACTGGCTGGTTCAGCTATGGAACATGCAAATCTGTTGTGCTATACCCCTCTAAGAGTAAGAACTGAGGTTTTACACTGGGAAACAGTATCTTGCAGATCATGCCAAAAATGCCACTGTCTATAAAAATCAGTCAAAGCATTTCAGAATATGCCATTACAAACACTTCAACAGCTAAAAAAGGAGGTTTGCTTAAACAAGAACTTTCCTAGATTCATTTTTTATGATTCCGCAAATCACCATTCATGTCATTCAAAGAAAAATACTTTCAGTTCATTATTTTTGCATGACAATGTCACGACCTAATAGTTATTTACTCCAGTTATTCCCCATAAATATTCATATTTTATTTACAGTTTTTTTCCTAGTCTTTTAGAGATCATCTTTATGTGTTTTCAAAAATTAAGCCAAAATTACCTTCTGCAGTGAATGAGGTAAATTAAGTGAAAGCGCTTGCTCTACATCTACACCTGGTGCTTCACTTTCTCTTCTTTTTTTTTTTTTAAGTCTTTGTAGACTAGAAGTTATACTATTTGAGGGTTAATCATCAATCACTGTTACCTATGGAGAAGTAACTTCAGTACTAAAGAACTCATGTTCTTTAAAACACAAAAATTGCATGGCCTGCTTTTAATACTGCTGATCCAACTACACCTGACCACTTAAAACATCTTTAATACATTGTTTGTGGACTATTTTTTATCTCTACACTCACTATTTATTAAACTTTGCTTGCTGTTTCAAGAACTGAAAAGCTTGACTTGATTTCAATATCAAGTAAATAACAAGAATTAGTTTTGAATGACAATGCTAAGTGTATAAAATGCTAAATTGTGTGCAGGTATTTTTTCCCTCCCAGATCCTCAGAACAACACAAAACTCCAGCTGTACCTAGTAACAAAAAGACATTACTAAGTCACCACGTGTGCTGAGTTAATTCCGTCAATGTTAAATTATGAATCACGTAGTCTGATGCCTCAGCAGACAACCCAGCACCCCATTCCTCAGGTTGCGAGTTAAAGATCAAACCACTCTGGCTCTGCTGTGTCAGCAGAGCCCCCAGACAGGCCAAGCTGCTGTTAACACACCTTTACTGTTTTATTACAATGATGGATGAAACTTCTAACCTGTCTTTCCTAAGGCAGCAGTATGCTGTCAGATTTAATTTAAAAACCCCTCAGTTCAAATTATGAACTGCTGCTGTATCTGCCTACGGACCGTGTTTACCTACATCAAAGCTAGCAGGTTAATGTGAGGTAGTAAAACCAGATGCTATCCTGTAGTCAGTCTGTATTTCTATTTAATGGTACCTCATGAATTGTAAGTAATGAGGAAGACAAAAGGAACCGATGTGACTGTTGAATGGAGAAATGAAGAGAGAAAGAAAAATGCAGGTGACAAATAGGGAAAGGGAAAAAGTGATGAAAAGCTTGAATATAGAATACTGGTTCTTATCATATTTATTTATACTACACAGCTGGGGAAATAACCATTTCTAAATGACCCTCTGACTGACAACATTTGGATGCCGTACAAAAAAAGAAGCTCGTAAACTCAGTTATCCCTATAGGATCCCCTCTGGAATAGCATAAATAAACTATACGTCATGGGCAGTTTGATACATGATACTTTCATTCATTAAGGATGATAACCAGGTACAGTTTCCCTTTCATGTCACAAGGCATATCCCTAATTTATGAAAATAAAGCATATATATTTTGTACATTTTTATATATATATAAATATATATATAAAAAAAATACACACTGCCGGTCAACTTAACACACATGCACACACACACATATGTATCCTGAACACACCCACCCAGTAGCAAGAAGTCTGATATCAATATTCTATTTTGTGTACACATACCCTACAGCTAGTAAATAAGAAAATCCCTTTTATGGCAATTCTGCAGGCAAAAAAATCAATACAAAATATTCTGTTGTACAAAACTGCATTTTTACAAGATCAACTGACATTGTAACATTCCCCTCAGTAATGCACTACATCCCTACAAGAAAAAAAATCAAATCTTTATACAATTTAAAAAGAAAAAAAAATTGTAAGCTGCTCTGCAACCTTCCTTTGCTAATAGTTAGACACATTACACCATTCTAGCAGCAGATTAATAAATAAGGATTAAATAATCTATTATACAAAGCCATACTGAATGGCAGATTTAAAACCAAAAAGCTTTGCAGATACTTTCACTTCCTACACAAATCTGTTTTATTAAGAATAAGACTCAGTATAAAACAGGGAAACAGCCAGCACTGTATCTACAGAACATAAGGAAAATCCAAGGGAAGTAAAATATTTAACAGTTTATGGCACCTTTACTGCATAACACTTTTTTAAAGGCTCTGTTTCCCTATAACTAATGAGTAAAGGGCTATCTATCTCATAGCTTTTATTAAGCAAACTCAATATAACCAACCACACAGTGGCAAAAAGACAGAACCAGCTGTTCCCAGCTGCAAAAATGTATTGATTTCCACCCTAAACCAACATCATTTAAGTGTCAAGAAAAGAAAGTCACAGTCCTGTTTGTATTAAGTTTCCTAATGCTTCTTCGCTCCTCATGTGGCAAATTCACTCTGTTATTTGCGTTAGGTTACCGTTGCTTAGTAACTATTTTCATGTCCAGCCAAGATGTAGAGATTGCTGTGTGCAGTCGGATTTTCTGTGGGCCTGCTTTCTAACACTACCACTCTGCAAGCAAACAC